GGTCCCTCGGGTTTCAGGAGCCGAAGGCATTTGGAAGGGGGTGGGGAAGGCACCCATCAGGCCTGTACCCTGAGTGGGATGGAGGAACTTTGCTCCCTGCTTCCGTGTCTCATCCGACCTCCTTGCTCTTGGGAGTGGGGTCCGCGATCCCGAGAGCAGGCGAGGAAACAGCGAGGGGTGTAGGAGAAGGTAAGATCAGAGCGCTCGGGACCAGCTTCCAGACCCCTCTGTCTGCACCCCTGGCTTCAGCCTGAGTGAGCTCAGCTCTTTCATCCTGTGCCCCCCCAATCTTCTCCCTGCAGCACCCCCTCTATCCCAGTGTATTTAGCCGTAGCCAGTGTGGCCTTTGTTAGGTAAAGAAGTGAGGCCAAACGCAGCTTGACCAGTACGTCTTTGTCAGGAGTTTGGCCCCAGCAGGGGCTCGTTAGTAGAAGTTTAGCATGAGGGAGGGTCGTTAGCATGAAGGAGGACTCTGTCAGGGTGTGAATCTTGGCCCCGCTTTGGTAGTTGTGTGACCCTGGGCAAGGCATTGAACCTTTCAGAGCCTTGGTCTGCACTGCAAAGCGGGGATGATGTTTGCACTGACCTCATAGGGTAACTTTGAGATTTAAATGAGGCACTGTACTCAGAACACATTAGATATAGGATCTGACTCAGAATAAAGGCTCAAACACTAGCTGCTGTGATTTTCTTCACACTCCTGTGTGTCTATATTTACAGTCTGTTAGTAGTTAGGCACTCCATTTGTCTCGTCTTGGGGGCTCTCTCTGGGACTTGGGGCCACCCCAGCGAGAGCAGGGCTTTGGCAGCCAAGTGACAGGACCCTCCCACCCCCTTTCAGTTTCTGCAGCTAACTGGCCGGTGTGTTAGGGACACCTGTACGAGCTTCAGTGCCACCTGCTCGAGTCACCGGTGGGAGGCAGCACAGTGTGAGTCCCCATCTTGCCTCTGGCTCTCAGCTCCTCTGCTGGGTGTTAGTGATGGGCAGGCTGTCCCCTGTCCACTGATGATGTCATTGCCAGAGTACCAGGTAGAGCAGAAATAGCCCCCGACAGGTCAGGGGCCCTAGTTTCCTGGCTCTGGCCAGTCACCAAATAGCTGTGTGACATTCAGCAAGTTGCCTTGCTTCTCTGGGCTGTCCTTTAAAAAATGAAAGGATTGAACAAGATGGCCTTAAACTTCCTTCTGCGTCGAGCCTTTGTTGCAACCAACGCAAATGTCCAGATGCTCATGTTCCTTCCTGAGACCGATTATGGAAAGGAGTGGAAGTTGAGTCAGATGGCTGCGGCTGCATCCTCTCCCATCTGGCAGCCCAGACAGAGGTGGACCTCTCTCCCCTCCCCCCGTTGATGACTGTGGAACACCCGCGTGTTTCCGAGTGCTTCACGGTCACAGCTGGCCCGGGCCAGTGTCTAATGAAGGTCACTTACAACATTCATTCATGGGCAGCCTTTAGAATGCTCTCCGTAGAGCTGTTTCCCTGAAAGCCGTTCATGTCTGAGTCAAGAAGATCTTTACATTTTCCTGGGTTGCATCTTGCAGCTCTGACCTCTCTGGTACTGTTCTGAGCGGAGCCCCGGCTCTTCAGTTTGCCAACTGGGCTTCTCTGCTGCCAGGGAACTAAGGATCCGAGCGCCTGTGGGTACAAGTCATGCGTTCCTGCCTGGGCCTGGCTCCGTTGTTCAGGTTGGAAGATGAAAACCGTGCTGGTTGTACCAGAGATTTCTAGGCCTCATCTTTCACACATGGTGAGAACCAGATAGCTCTTTTGGGGATTGCCAAGTTGGCTTCTGATTTTTGAGGTGGTGTGTCCGCTATGGCTCTGGAAACTGTCTCCAGGTTGACCTCTGGTAAACTCCTGGATGCCACCTGCATTCCCATGGCCGAGCCTGATGGCTCACACCTTTCCTGTGAGGGATCCCCAGGAAACCTTGGGCATCGCTCTGCCCCATTATGTTCCCGTAGCGCTTTACACCTGTCACTTGTGTTGGAATTCGTAATGAACGTGTCTTCTCCCGACTAAATTGGAACCCCGGTTTCGGTGTGGGCGTCTCCCCTCCAGGACTGGCCTCCAGAGGTACTTCCTCAGTGTCGAATGGATGATGTCCTGCTGGTAAGGGCGCGACAGAGTGCTCCCTCCTCGTGTGCACCTGCCCGCTGCTTCCTCGTGACGTAGTTTTAGAAAATGTTTTGTGAAAATGCCTTAAGGCCATGAGCTTTGGGATTCTTTAGGAAGCCCCCGAAGTTTGATTCCTTGGCTTAATGATGGCAGATTAGACTGTGAACAGCCAGAAAGAACATTCATTGGTTGAGGGGGATTTGAGCAGCCTGCACTGGCTGCTGCAGTCACTTCCTTCAGTTCTGCAGAATAGCCCAGCTGTGCAGAGGGAAAGATGTGTTGTCATTTAGGTTAGAGTTGGCCGAATATAACAGATAACCCCCCAAACAACACGGGCTTAAGCGTGGGACTTTATTTTTTCCTGTCATGTAAAAAGTCAGGCCAGGGCAGAGACCTAACTTACTGTTTTACATCCTTAAGATAGTTATCTCATGATCCAAAATAGTGGTTGAAGCACCAGCCATTGTGTTCGTATCCCAGGTGGAAAGACAAAGGAGCCCTCCCAGAAGGTCCCACTCAATGTCCATTTATATCTCATTAGCTAAAGTCACGGGCACTAGTCATAGTGACAGCTGGGAAATGGGGTCTTTAACTGGGACATTGCCTACCCCTGAGACATAAAGGCTCTGTTACCAAGGACAGAAGGGACAGTGGCACAGGACAGGTGCCCAGCACTTACTTGAATGGCTAAGTAGATAAGTGATGGAGAGTGTCTGAGGGTTAAGTGTGAACCAAACCCTCATGTTAGTAGTAGTCACATGTGACAAGCAGGCACATTTCTGATTCCACCGTGTGGGAGGGAAGGGACCTCTGGAAACTTGGCAAACTCAGTAGGAACTTGACACAGAGCATGTTCTGCAAGAACCCCCATCCCTGGGCTTCCTCTTGTCCCTCTTAACCTGGTCCCCCGATTTGGAACTCCTCAGACGCATGGCAGCGGGTGAGGAGGTGCTGGCCGGGCCCCTGACCACCTCCACAAGAGCATCTTTCTCTGAGGAAAGAAAAACTTCATGATTCAGGCAGGGAGACCTGGGGAAGAGAGTGTATTTACCCTTAAATGTTGCTGAACTAAAATACGAAAATGTCCTTAAAAACACATACGAATCCCTTCTTAGAACATGTTAGGATCCGGTGGGATTCATTGTTGTGGCCTGGTGTCGGTTTGAGCCTGTAGGAAGTCTGTGGTGTAGGGAGGGGGGCGACTTTTCAGCGACAGGTTCCGGTGCTCCCGCCCTTCCCCCGCATCACATCTGGGCAGCTGGAGGGCCGCAGGACCCTGGCCCGGCCTGGAGGCAGGGGTCTGGAGTGGGGAGTTGTGTTGCTGAGAGCACGCTGTCCTGTCACTTCTCAGAGGGTTGGCCAGTTCCACAGAGGGCAGGCCCTGTCCCCACTGCGCACCTGAGGCACACCTGGTGGCTGTGGTCCCAGGGCACACCGTTGTCCACAGTAGGCAGGTCCCTGGGCCACTGGTTGAAGCTTTAGCCTGGCATTCATTGGAGGCCTTCGCTCTTGATTCCTTTTGGACATTGTTCTTTGTCAAGTCTCCCACAGTTTCTAACGTTTCATAAATACTGTTTCCTCTTAGTCTCTGCTACCCCACCCCCATTTCCAAATCATCCTCGTCTGAGTCCTCAATTCAGGACCTTCCTCCTTTAAGAAGCCACCCTCAGTTCCCTCTACTGGGAGTAATTTCTCCTCACACCTCCTTGCTACGTCCCCTCCACCCCAGGGCACTCTCAGTACAGCCTGGTGCCAGCCTTCTGAATGTCCACTCCATGCCCGCTTCACCCTGGCCACACCGTCATTGCCCGGAAGGGCAAGTGTGGTCCCCAGTCCATGTTCACTGGACGATGGGGCTGGTGGGTTCTGCGTCTGATTTTGTTTCCCATAACCGTCTTCGAAAAGTGTCCTCAGCCTGTGGTTCCCGAAGACTTCCTCTAAGTCATGTGAGACTTGCTCTGAGGATTTGGGGGGCCCCCACTGTTCCCCTTTGAAGCCCCAGGGACTTCCCCGTGGGTGTCCCCATGTTTATGTACATAAGGATCTGGTTAACCATTTGGCCCATGCTCTGGCCGGGGGTTCCGGGTGGGCCTGAGGGTGTGCTGTGATTTCTGACGTGATCACATGGTCCCCTCTCGAAGGAGGCGTGTCTACTGTACACAGAAATAGACTCTGAGTCCACTGTGTCATTTTACACCTTCTGGTAGCCCAGTAAAAAAGTAAAAAGAAAGAGGTGAAATTAATCTTAATATTTAACCCAGAATCTCTACACATTGTCATTTCATCATGGAATCCATGTGGAAGTCTACCTGGGGCTGGTGGCAGCCCAGCGTGGTAGGCTGCCGTGGCTTCTCCTTGATGTTCCGACAGTGAGTGTGAATTGAGTGGGGGCCTGTCTGGCTGAGGGGCAGCGCGGGGGTGACTTGCAGGACCTGGTGTCAGGTCACAGGTCTGCGTCCCACCAGCTCTGAGCGTGGGGAAGGCCTGTGTCCCTCAGGCTACCATTCTCACCTGTGGAACGAAGCCTTTGGAGTGTGATCCCTGGGGCCACACATCTGGGCCACGGGGCCACGGATCTGGGCAGGGACCACTGTATCCACCGTGGCATCATCAGCAAATGAGAACTACTCTACGAAAGGCCACGGTTGGCCCCTGTCCTGGGGGGCTGGTTTGCCATCTCTGTCTGACCGAAAGTTGGCATGTGTATCTGGCCTGTTGGGTTCTGGGCTGTGAAGACTGTCCGGTCACCTACCCAACCAGCATTTACAAGGCCCTGCGGGTGCCAGGCCTGTTGCCAGAGTGGACAGGGTAGGTCCCGGCCCTTGGCACACTCTTCTTTCGGAGGGTGTGATGAGGTCTCACGTGGGTTCTTTCGCCACAGGCTCAGCTGGAAGCGCAGAAAGCCACGCAGGACTTCCAGAGGGCCACGGAGGTGCTCCGCGCCGCCAAGGAAACCATCTCGTTGGCTGAGCAGCGGCTGCTGGAGGACGACAAGCGGCAGTTCGACTCTGCCTGGCAGGAGATGCTGAATCACGCCACCCAGAGGGTATGAGTCATAGTCTGTGCGCCTGTGGGAGGGTGCACCCGGGCATGTCTGCAAGTGTCCGTGTGCACGTGGGTGTCCCTTCAGGGGTGCTTGCCCGCCTGTGGGTGGCTGTGGGTGCGCCCTTCGCACTGTCCCTTGTCTGTGTGATCCGGCCTGCCCTGTGCTTCTGGTGAGCTCCGAGTGCGCCCTTTCCCCACGCAGAGGAAACAGCCTTCTAGGCACGGGCCTAAATCGCTCTCAAAGTCACAGGGCAGGAATAGAAAAGCCAGGAGTTACTGCCAGCAGCCTCCCCCTTTCCTGTGTCACTTGTCACAGTGGTTCAAGCTCTGGGGGACCTGATCATTAAAGATGGCCGTGTGCTTCCTTAACTAGAAAGCCTGGCACACGAATGATGTGACTGAGGAATCAAATCAGCTGTTGACTCTGCACTACCTCCCCCTCCCCCTGAAGCCGGGGACTGCTGGCTGGGCCTGGGGCCTGGGGCCTCCTGCCCCCTAGTGGACATGCTGCTCAGAGAGCCGAACACAGGCTGGAACAGCTTTCCTGGGTCAGCTGGTGCAAACCCAAAGCTAGAAATCTGGGACATTTACAAGCCACAGCCTGGAAGATGTGAAAAGGACACACACACACACACACACACACCACACACGCATACACGCATGCACGCACACACACGCACAAATTTAGAGAAGCTCCTTCCAGGAAATTAGCTGAAGGTCGCCCCTCCTTTGTTGTCCTCCCTCCACCCCAACCAAACATCCAAACTAGTCAGTAAAAAACATTTCAGAAATCACTTAATCTGCTCTTTAAAAAAGAACAAAACCTGTTTCTGCATTTTTCCCCTCCGCCAGTCCCAGGGCCCTGGTGGATGTGAGTGGATGGTCAGGGTGTCCCCACCACATCTCTGGGGAGCACCGCTCACTCCATCGTGTGGTGCCCTCGGGGTTGCGCAGTGGGCCCTTTGTGGAGCTGTACCCGACTTCGCTGGGCCTCCCAGGTTCCGTAGGGCTCCTCAGGGTTCTGGGAGGGCCATCTGATGTGCCCTCCCTGAGGCCACTGCAGGTTTCTAGGTCTTGGGGGTAACCACTGCAGATGAGCCAGTGTTCGGGGTCACAGGCCAGGATTTCCACCTGGGGCTGCTGTTCCTCTTCCCAGAGTCCTTCACACTTGCACAGGCCTGAAATGCTGCTCTTGAACTGCTGAGGGAGGAGGAGAATTCGAAACTGATACCAGCAAGAGACACTTGGTGGCAAAGCTTTCCCCAATCATCCCTGGGTCACTGAGAACTTCAGCCCGCAGGGCCGTGCTCCCGGAGTTGGATGGAGGGGCAGCCCTCTGGGTGTAGCATTCCCCCGAGTGGAGCGCCCGCTGCCCACTCCCAGAGCTTCGTGGGCCTGGCACACTCAGCTTGCTGAACAGTGGTTGACAGAGACAGTGAAGGGTCTAGAATGTCCCCTGCCTCGTCTGACTTCTGGATACTCCGAGAACCGTTTCTCCAGGGGACGGGAGCGCCGTCACCCTCTCCTTCTATAGCAAGTACTAATCGAGGGTCTGGAGAAAGATCCAGACTCAGGCCCAGGGCTGTCTTGAGGAAGTGGCAGCGATTTGGGCTGCATGATCCCCACCCCAGGCACAGTGGAAGAACACAGGTCTCCACGTTCCTGGCAGGAGGCCATCAGTGTCCCCCTTGTACTCAGACGTATGGTGACACTGGGCAGCCACACTTGGAGCCATGGCTGAAGCCAGCGTGCGAGGAGACTGTACACGAGCCAGGAGCCCTGGTGTCCTCTTCTAGGCCACATGCAAGGCCACAGACGGACAAGGAAGTTCTCGCCCGGTGCGGGGGCCCAGGAGGGCCTCGGAAGCTGCCAGCAGCAGCCAGCAGAGTGGCCTCCTGGGTGCGGGGCCCGGAGCCCCTGCTGCCCACCTTGGGGCTGTGGACAGCAGCGGCCCCCTCCAGCGCTGTCTCTTTTGGCCTTGAAGCGGCCTAGATGGAGAGGTGACAGCTTTCCACGCTCTGGGAGAGGAGGCCTGGCATCTGGGAGGGAGGGATTGGCTTTTCTGATGTCTGCGGAAGAGCCCGGACAGAGGAAGAAAATGTGACTTGGAAAGGGGGAGGCACGAAGTGTTTAGGAGATGGCAGCGCCGGAGAGGGAAGGACACAGCCAGCTGCCCCTCCCAGGTCTCAGGTGCAGATCGCCTGGGTGTGTGATCTGAGGCCTGGGACAGCACATGAGCTGTCCAGGCCTGCTTCCCTGACCTGGTGTGTGTGCACCACCCTCTCCCGTATGGTGGCGAGAAGCCACCTTCTCAGGCCCCCTCGCCCGGGGTGCAATCAGAAACTGGATGAGCTAGGGTTCTGAGGAAACAGGAAAACTGCCTTTCCTGGCGAGAGGAGGATGCTCATCTTTGAGACGGGATGTTGGAGAAGAGATTACATGCGGGGTGTCGGGGAGGTAAGCAAGGGCGGAACACCTTGGGGCTCGGAGAGGGGAAGGCTGGACAGTGAGGCAGAGGAGACATGCTGGGTGGATGTCTACTGGTCACTGCAGGTCATTATGCTGGCAGCGAGGAGGCCATGCCCAGCCCGGCTGGCACACCTGCTCAGTGTCTGTCAGAATCCAGGCAGGAAGGCCCCAGCTGTTGGAGTATCTTCTTTGTGCTGCTGTGAGCAGGGTCTCTGGGGCCTTTGGGACCCAGCTGCCTGCCTGCCCTGGGGCTCGTGGGAGGGAGCCAGTCACTCCTGGGCCCACTCCTCTCTCCTAGGAGAGGCCGGCTGGCATGCTTTTCCCTCCAGGGCTTGCTGCCCACGTGCCTGCCCAGGGCTTGGTGCTATGGGTGTCCTGGAGCAGACTCGTCCAGCACCAGCTCTGGTGGCTCACGTCGGCTGGGCGCTGGCAGTGGTCAGTGCTGGGGCAGGAGTGCATGTCTGCAGGTTTGGGAACACCAGCAATGCCTGACTTCTTACCCTGTAGGCCGGGACAGATGCAACCAGGAGTTAAGACAGAACCTGTGGGTCATCCCCAGGACAGGGGCCCCTCTGGGGAGAAAGTTCTAGACCTTTGTGAGGGAGGCCCAGACTCTGCATGCTGAACAATCATCTCTGGGAGCCTTCCAGGTCGGGAAGGAGGTGGGATGTGAGCACTGCCCCGGGCCCACTATCTGTGGGCCCTGAGTGCTCATCCGGGGGAGATGGTAAATGGGCAATGGCGTGTGGCTAGACGCAAGGAAGAACTGCAGCCTGGGCTTCAAGAGGCGGTGGGAGGCCTGGGGCGGTGGCAGTGGGCACCTCGGGTCTGAGCTGTGTGTGCCCAGCTCAGTCCAGCCTGCTGCTGCCTTGAGGCCTGAAGGAAATTCTTCATTATTGCTTCCCTTTGTCTTTGTTGCCCGTGGCTTGTTTTCATAGCAGAGCCTCCCTGTGCCACCCTCCTCCCTTATCCCTCCTCCGCCCCCCATTGCAGCTCACGGCTCACGCCTGATCCATCCTGAGGTGGAGGGGCTCCTTGGTTACTTAGATTTCACCAGGGCGACAAGCTTGATGACTTTCTCCCTGGAGGCAGAGTGGAGGGTTGGAGGGGTCTCTTCTGAGCACGCGGGCTGTGTGCATAAGGGGGGGGTAGATGGGATGTGGCTGGCGCGGCCTGATGGGGTGAAGCAGGGGACATCGACGTGCCAGCCGCCTCTGCAGCCCTCACTGGTAATATTTCCGAGGGCTTGGAGCGTTCAGAGTTTAATTTTAGAAAGCCTTCGCTCCCCTGCGGCCGGGGGGCTGAAACAGAGGAGGGCGCGTGTGCAGTGGTGGGAACGCTGCTTCCTGCAGGGACCCCTTCTGTGCAGTAACTCAAATCGTAGCCTTTCTAAGTCCGACTCTTTGAAATGCTTTCGGACAGCTCCTTGAAGGCCAACCCTGCAGTGAATTATTTCCTAATGGAACAGCTCACCCCCAGTGTCGTCTTCTGTCTGATAAGCGTGGGGTTTCGAGTTCTCATAAAGGTTACGCCAGTAAATCCTGGAACCCTAGGATTTAAGACAAGACTGTGTCCAAGCATGGGATGTTTTTAGTGCGTTTTATTTCTCTGTGGAATCTCTGGTGTGAGAAGCAGAGAAAGGATGCTCTTAGCCCTTTGGTCTTGAGAAGTCGTTCTAGCAAGCGTGTCACTGCATGCTAGCTTAGCCCAGGCCCCTCCTCGGGCTCTATTTAATTCTGTTGTTCAAGCACTGACACCTTGTTAAAAGATTCAGAAGGTAAAAGCATTACTCCGATAAATATAAAGGGTTCTTATGTCAAAGATTTTAGTTCACTAAGGAGGGAAATAATAAGATGGTACAACTATTTCAAAGGAGAATTCAATAAAACACGCTGTGTAGAAAACCAGGGATGCTGAAACAAATTTACAAACTGAGCAAAACTGATCAGTATTTACAGGGTCATCAGTAATCAGATGCACCTCCACTGGGACACAGTTCACCTTCATTTCTAGGAACAAGGATCATTTGTGTTACTACCAGTTTTCTATAACTTACAGGGTCGTAAAATAGCTCCAGGACAATGAAAGCCAGAGATAACATGAGAGGATACGCTAGACAGGACCTGCAGTCATTTTTTATGCTCACTTAAGTCCATAATTCCTGACGCTTAAAAAAAAATCCTTATTGTAAGAAAATGCATAAATTAACTATCCCAGGGCCGACCCAGGCTGACTGGAGGATGCTAGAATATTGGTGGCCTCCTGTGTGGACTTCTCTTAACCTTGAGTTAAAGGCATGGTGGTGCCTTCCTAAAACTGTCCTGGGGGCTTTGAGAGAGCGAGCCAATGCCCCGAGGGCCTTCTGGCTCCTTTCAGATGAAACCCAGAGCAGTCCACTAGCCTAACCTCGCTCCTGTCTCCCCAGTTCACTCTGTAACACTGTGCGTTGTAAGCAGGAGATGGGAAGAAACCGCGAGCTGCTTATGTGGCTTGAACTGCGATGTATTCCTTCACCTTTCTCAAGGCAGGCCCTGCTCCGATGCTTTGCTTCGGCTGAGGCGGGAGAACCTGCACTGGCCATGTGTCAGGGAATGGGCCCTTGAGCTGCTGTGTTTTTGGCTACTGAGGGCTCTTGATCGTTTCTTTTTTTTTATTTTATTTTTCTCTATTGATTTTAGAGAGGAAGGGAGAGGAAGAGAGATGGAAACATCCATGAGAGAGAACATGGATCAGCTGCCTCCTGCACGCCCCCTACTGGGGATCGGGACCACAACCTGGGCATGTGCCCTGACCGGGAATCAAACCGACGACCTCCTGGTGCATGGGTCGACGCTCAATCCACTGAGCCACACTGGCCGGGCCATTTTTTTTCCCACTCATTTTAATCAACAGGCTTAAGAAAATGTTCCTACTAGAATTTCCCATCAGAATGCTGAGTGGTCTCCTGGTCACAAAATTTTGTGAACCTCAAACTCTGGTATGAATGATTTGATAACTGTTTAAATGTAGTTCAATTCCTCTGGATCCTGGATTCTTCTGCACCCAGCAGCTAATTCAGGACATTTGGGAAAGGGCCAGACCGCTGAGATCACAGCTGCCTGTTGTCCTGATGCTGTCACACCTGGTTTTGCTAGGGATCCTAGTTCCTTGATGTCCAAGCTCCCCGTGGTGCCGTCTGCCCCTCTGCCTGCCCATCAATCCCTGCCCCGAGGTAGAAGCAGGAGCCCAAGGAGGCGACTTAGAGCCAGGAGGCCTGAGCAGAAGGAAGTGGACATCGACTGAATCAGAGAATGCGTCACATTTTTCTCTGATTTTTGTGTTTCCTTTTTTCTTGGTCATTGTCACAGCCAACTTGTCTATTTAGTCCTGTCTGACGAGACTTTTCCAAAAGAGCAAACAGGAAGAAGTAATCCTATTCTAGTTGGAAGTTAATTTAATCTTAGTCTGCTCACTAATTTACTAAAAGGCTATTTAAAAAAAAATGATATAAGTAATACCCTAACAAGGGATTGTTCTGGGCTTAGCTGGGTTGACCTCTGCTGTTGTTTGAAGGTCATGGAGGCGGAGCAGACCAAGACAAGGAGCGAGCTGGTGCACAAGGAGACGGCAGCCAGGTACAACGCGGCCATGGGCCGCATGCGGCAGCTGGAGAAGAAACTCAAGAGAGCCATCAACAAATCCAAGTGAGTGTGGGCGTGAGGGTCCCCGGGCCACGTGGTGATTCTCTCCACATCTTCTCAACCGTGTGTGCCTTGCCCTCAGGGACCTGCCTCACCAGAACCCCCTGCGCGGGTTCCCCCTGCCCGCCAACATTCCATACCCCAGAGGTCAAGGTGCGGAGTGGTGGGGCTGCTCCCACCACAGAAAAAGGAATTTCAAAAGCAAACCATGCCATGGCACATTGGCTGGGCCTGCTTATCTGTCAGTGTAATGGAGATGAGCTGTGTGCAGAATACATTTTCTCTGAGGACCAAGAGCTGATGAAACAGTGCAAGGCTGGTTCTAATGGAGGTTTTCCCCAAACTCTTCTCACTGTCATTCCTATATATTTTTATACAACAATGAACTTGGAGAAAAGCCCCCTGCTTTCCTTACTGTTGCTGGGCCTCCAAGCAGAAGAGATAGGACTTGGGATGGCCTAGATCCAACAGCCAAAGACACACCCGGAGCTTCATGGCAGGTGAACAGATCAAGAATAAAGCACTGGTCTGCACTTCCTGCTGAGGCATCAGAGTTGCTAAAAAGAGCTAGAGTCTTCTGGCTGACCTAGAACCCAGGGGACTAGAAGAATGTTTGCATTTCTTGTTCTCTGTCTTGCCCATTGACCTGGTTGGGTCTGTAGACAATCTGATACCTCTAGTCCTGGACAGAGCCCAAGAGGACCAACCCGAGTCCGTCCTTTTGGTGGCTTTTCTGTGTTCAACTGGGAGAGGACCAGTGCTTCTCCCTTCCCCAGTTGACCTCAGCAGAGGAGGGTGTTTTGAGGCATTCCCTCTCCAGCCTCATCTGCTGATCATCCCTGGGAAACCAACCTCCTTAGACGAGATCCAGGCCACATCAACTGCTCGGCGTGCTCAGCGTGCTCAGCGTGCTCAGCGTGGCCTTGATCAGCCTCTCCAGAGAGGAATGTGAACCGGGACGCAGGGTTTCCAGGATGTGTACACGTGTGGGTTCCCCATATCTTGAGTGAGCCCAGTGGCTCTGACTGGCATCTGGATCCATCAGGCCCTGGAATTGGGGGCACCACCTTCAGATCATGGCCTCATCAGAGTTGACTAAATCGTGGAAGGATGACCTGGCCAGCTGTAGCTAATGCCTCCTATGCCTCATGGAGTTTATTAGCGGTCATTGTGTTATATTACTTACACTCTTTCTTCCTGTCTTTCACAGGCCTTATTTTGAACTCAAGGCAAAGTACTACTTGCAGCTTGAGGTATGTGTGGCCTTTGGTTCTATTGGGGTTTTTCTGCAAAGCCTCACTTTCTGTGATAGACTTTCAGATAGCACATTTACTACAAGAGGGGAGTGGAGAGACATTCCTCAAAATGGTCTTGAGTGGTCTCTGAAGTTCTCTACATCTGCTCACCAGGCACTTTCTACATTGTACCGGGCAGTGGTTCTTAGTGTGCTCCTGGACCAGCATCAGCTTGGACACTCGTTAGAAGTGCAGATTCCCAAGCCCCCCCCCTAGACCCACTGATTAGAAACTGAGTGGAATCCAGCCATCTGAGCTTTAACAAGCCCTCCAGGGGATTCTGATACAAGCTCAAGTTTGATAACGGCAGTGCTGGGGACCAAGTGGCTAGAAGGTGGGACATCTGTGTGAATTTGATACCCAGCGTTGCTTCCCTGATGGGGTCTATTCTGCCACTGGTAGTTTCTGGGTAACAGTTTTAGTTTGTCACTCAGATGGGAGTTGGAGGTGGGGTGGCTGATTTGACATCTGGTACATGGATAACTGTGATAAAAGGAGTTAGATTCCTCAGTCATGTCCTGGAAAAATCTTTGGAGTGGAGCCATGGGCAGAAAGCATACTTGGACCTGTCTTTCAAAAGCATCACAAGGCCAGCAGGGCAGCCTTCACTTATTGAGCCTCCTGTTCTCCTGACCAGCAACTAAAGAAGACCGTGGACGACCTGCAGGCCAAACTGGCCCTGGCAAAAGGCGAGTACAAGACGGCCCTGAAGAACCTGGAGATGATCTCGGACGAGATCCACGAGCGACGGCGCTCCAGCACCATGGGGCCTCGGGGCTGCGGCGTCGGGGCTGAGGGCAGCAGTACGTCTGTGGAGGACCTGTCGGGGAGCAAGCCCGAGCCAGACGCCGTTTCCGGTGAGTCAGGAGCTCGTGTGCAAGCGGGGAGGTGACACAACCGTGTGACCAGCTTCTAGGGATGTCTCTGTCACAGAAGGGCCTCAGAGCTGGGTGGGACTGAGGCTGTTTCTGGTCGCTTTCCACATTTTGTGGGACATTGTTCATCAAGATGCTAGGGAGTGTTCCTCAAAGTCAGGTTTCTGTGGACGGCTAAGTTTGGAAAATGTGATACGTTCACCCCTCTCTGGGGTTCAAAGTGCGTATGAGCGAACATACAAGGTCTGAGAAGTACCGTAGTTGTCTAAGAACAGGGGCTTTGAAATTAGATTGGATTCAAACCCTGGCCTTCCCATCATTACTCGTGCATGACGCGGGCCAGGTTTGACTTTGTATGCCCATGTCTTCACCTGGGGGATGGGGAGTGTGACGGTGTCTGCTGTCCACTGTACCGTGGTGAGGAGTAAACACCGGCACCCAGGAAACACTCAGAGCCTTTTTCCAGGGAACTAGTACAGGTTTGATGGGGCCGGCTCCCTTTACGTTAACCAAGAAAACCTCCAGCAGTCTCTGCACACTGCCTCTCCCGTGGGAGTCCCTGTGAGCGTCCCTGTGGGCTCTTTCCGGCTCCTTTCTCAGGTGTTCTTTAATTCAACAAACATTTAGGTGCCAGGCCCAAGGTAAAGGAATAGGGAACTATATTTTCAGCTCAACAATGTGAGGGCTTTAATGTACATCATCTCATAAACGCTGCTCGGAGAGGAACATGACGCTCAGGGAGGTTAAGTAACTTGACCGAGGCTGTACAGCAAGTAGTACAAACGGGACTGGGATTCAGATCTGAGCCCGTTTTGTCCCCAACATGTCAGTACTTCTCATTTATGGTAATCCCCAAATGCGGCAAGGCTGTCAGTCCGGTTGTGCTCGGGAGGGAGGGTCACACTCCTTGCATCGGGCACCCACGGTGGCAGGGTTCTGTTCTGCAGTCCCCATGCGTGTCCAGCTGTCTGCCAGCAGCAGACACTTCTAGAGGTGTTTCAGGAACGAGGCTGCTGCCTGCCAGAACCTCGGTGACTGTTCTCTCTCATCCCAGTGGCCTCCGAGGCCTTTGAAGATGACAGCTGCAGCAACTTCGTGTCTGAAGATGACTCGGAGACCCAGTCTGTGTCCAGCTTTAGTTCAGGACCCCTGAGCCCATCTGAGACGGCCGACCAATTCTCTACAGTTGTGAGGCCCGGCAGCCTGGACCTGCCCAGCCCCGTGTCCCTGTCGGAGTTTGGGATGATGTTCCCGGTCCTAGGCCCTCGCAGCGAATGCAGTGGGGCCTCCTCCCCGGAGTGTGAGGTGGAACGAGGTGAGTTGCAGCCAGAGCTTGGCCCTGTTCCAGACCCTTGGCCAGGTCTGGGAGCCCCCAGTGCTCTTACTGGGTCTGTGTGAATGTGCCGTGGGTGTTTATCACGGAGACAGTTTCCAAGTCCTGTTCTGGAGGCTCCTGGCTCCATAGCTTGAGTTCTGTCTCTCTCATTGCAATAGTCTTCTTGACAAGCATGTGCTACTGAGGCCTCTGTTTCCCAGCTATTAGATGAGTATGACAGATTTCACCTCTAAAGACAAGGAATACAGTGATACCTCGGTTCTCGAACATAATTCGTTCCAGGAGGACGGTCGAGAACCAAATTGTTCGAGAACCGAAGCAATGAAACCCAATAGGAAATAATGGAAACTGGATTAATTCGTTCCAAGCCCCAGAAAATGCCTATTTACTGGCCTAATTTGTATATAATATGTAGAAAAACATAAGTCTCAACAAGAAATAAAAGTGTACAGTATGTCTAAGGGTTCAATTCAGTGTAAAGCGTGACTCTCTCCACAAAGCGTGACTCTCTCTCTGCACTCACACTGATGACGCAAGCAAGGCGCGCTGGGCCGAATGAACGCCATTCGGCTCAACTCGGCTCATCTCGGAAGTTCGAGTTCCAAATATTTGTTCGGATTCCAAGACAAAAGTTTCTCGAATCTCCTGGTCGAATACTGATTTGGTCGAAATCCGAGGCGTTCGAGAACCGAGGTATCACTGGTATATAAAATGCCTTGAGGAATAAAAGCAGTAAGCAATTACGTGAGGGACCCTCTGCAATATACACGGTTGGGCAACACTGGGAGATTCTGGAGGGATGAGTTGGCTGATTTGCTGGGGCCTAAGTGACTCTTGGAATTGTCAATATTCACTTAATATTTCCACTTCTATAGGAGACAGAGCGGAAGGGGCCGAGAATAAGACAAGTGACAAAGCCAACAACAATCGGGGTCTTAGCAGCAGCAGCAGCAGCGATGGTGGCAAGAGCCAAAGCAGCGTCACCCCCGAGGGCCAGGCCCTGGTGAACAGGATGAAGCAGCTCTCCCTCCAGTGTGCCAAGGGGAGAGATGGGATTATTGCTGACATAAAAAGGGTGCACATCGGCTGATCATCCGAGGTCCTGGCCCCAGCGCACACCACTATTTATACGAGAAAACTGTGGGGAACCTTGTGCCAATACTCTAATACATGCCAAATTGTAAGCGTTTACTCTCAACTGTACTAACGACGTTTCAGTGACCTTGAGGGCGGAAGGTTTTTCTTCTGAGTAAGAGCTCTTGGGTTGGTTTGTTTTCTAGAGCACAGTTGTTGTTGCAGGTGGACTATGACCAGATCCACAGTCTTGGTGGAATATTAACTAACAGTGTTATGGAAGCAATAACTAGTTCCTATGAAATAACATGAGCCAGGAAAGGGGCTGGGAAACAGCCCACTGGGGTCAGCAGTTTGCTTCTCCCACCCTCAGTGTGGGGCAATAGAGATGTCCTCGCCTTTATAGCTTAGGGGATCGGAACGAAAAAAGAACGTAAGACAAAACTCAACCATTCAATTCAGAACATATTTTTTTGACCCAGTGAAGGCTTAAAAAATCCAAAAACATAATTCATTTTTATCATCTCTGATGTTCAGAAGGGGCTTTAAAAAAGTGTGTATGTTGGGACACCCATTAAAACCATTTTCTATAAAGGTTACTATGAACTGCACTTTTTGGGGTGGGGAAGGTGAATGCCAATGCGGGGCTGGGGGCTGGGGGGGGGGGGGGATAAGGGTAGCAAGGACATACCATAGAATGGGATTTGTGGCTGTGGGAGAGAAGGTTCTATAGCATAAACCTTATCCTACCAACCAAGGGGACTTATTCTAAGAGAAGTGCATGTGAAGAATGGTTGCCATTGTTGTTCTAGACTGACAAGGTGTTAATTTCTCTGTAGATTGTAACTTTAAAAATAAAAAATTATTTAAGGGTTATGCTACACTAGTCTTTCTTAGAGGAAACTGTTTCTTAAAGCTAGAGAAGGGAGTAGGCATGTGTTGACAAAGGCTGTTAAATAGATGCAACAGAGTCTGCTATTCTAATAGTAGTAAGTGTTAAGACTGCTTTTCCTTAATGTTTTCAAGGTTACACATATTTAAGAGCACTGTATTTTATTTGTTAAGAAAACCTGGCATTTCTAAAAGGAAAAAAAACAACCCCATTTCAATTTGTTTGTTAATTCTGTCTCAACTTGTATATTTTAGTCATTTGTAAATCTCTTCATACTGTAGTTTTCTCCTTTTTTAATGACTGATACAGTATCTTAATTACAAGGTTATTTTGTACTTGTCTTAATACCTTGAGTGTAATAAAAAATGCTTCAGAAAATGTCTAACTTTCTATGACTTCAAATGAGAAATCCCGATGCTACCTAAATCTTCTTTCTAGGCAACTTTCTTGCCATAGGAAGAGCATACATAGAATGCAGTGGTCATCTGTTCTTTTCAGTTAAAATCATGGATCCTAAAAATTTAAGCCCTGATTACCAAGGTTTGAATTAGAATTCTACTTTTGCTGCTACAAAGCTGAGCAATAAGGATATACAGTGGCAGGAAAATAAAGACAAGGTTGTTATACTGGGAGAGTGGTTCTCAACCTCTGGTTTTTATTTTAGAGAAATATAGATCAGCTGCCTCCTGCACACCCCCTACTGGGGATCGAACCCACAACCTGGGCATGTGTCCTGATTGGGAATGGAATCAGACCTCTCAGTCCATGGGACGACGCTCAGTCCACCGAGCTACAATGGCCAGGCTGGATATTGGACTTTTTTCATTCCTCACCCGAGTATATTCTTCCATTGATCGTTAGATAAGAGAGACACATCTATGTGATAGAGCCACATCAACTGGCTGCCTCCCGCACAACCCGACTGGGGCTGGGGATGAACTGCAAACAAGGTACGTCCTTGACCGGAATTGAACCTGAGACTCGATGGTCCGTGGGCCGACACTCTTGACTGCTGAAGCCAAACCGGCCAGGGCCAGGTATTGGACTTTTTGTTTTATCCTCAACTAAGGACATTTTTCCATTTTTTGTTCAGATAGAGTGGGAGGAGGAGAGAGGAAGAGAGAGAGAGAGAGAAACATCGACGTGAAAGAGACACATTGAGTGGCTGCCACTCACATGACCAACCAGAGCCAGGGACAAACTGCAACCGAGGTACATGCCCTTAGCGGGAAACAAACCCGGGTCTCTCTGGACCGCAGGCCGGCAGGCCGACGCTCTAACCGCTGAGCCAAACCGGCCAGGGCTAGATCTTAATTCAGTTTGCACCCTGGAAGATCTTTAACACAGAGGGTCAAATCATATATGCGTTTATAATAAATATAACTCTTACACTTTACATTTTTTTTCTTTCAAGGGCCATAAAAAATTAGTTCAATTGATCTACCTAAAATTAATATCTAAAATCAAAAGCACTAAATATTTACCAAAGAGAAATCTCACTAGTATAGCAATCTACCACTACTATTCTGAATGTTAAAGAACTGATTTTTTGAAGCATGAAATTTCTAGCAAATAAGTTTTCTTTTTTAAATGGAACGTACTAGATGAAGTCCTTTAGTAATTTAAGTTAAACCATGCACTTTCCATAAGTATAAACATTTTATTTCAATTACAGGTAGCAGAAATACAAAATAAGTTTTAATAATTATAAAGTAGAGATGATGAAAAATACCACCTTATTTTCAGATCTTTAAAATCTTGAGCATCATTCTGCTCTGATGGATTTTTATGTAAACAACTAGGAATTTGCACATGACAGTATCCTGGCAATTTTTCCAAATGCAACCCCAATTATAATATATTAAATTCTCCATTGTATTTTCTTCAGAGTGCTGTTACCATTCAGAGCACTGAACTACAAAGCAATTAAAAAAAATGTACCAACTAAACAGTGATATCTTCAATGTCTCATACTACTTTATCAACCTGATAAAAAATGACTGTAATAGCTAATATACACTTCAGTCCTCTTTACATGATTCAATGGGAGACAGGTACCTTAACTTCAACAACCTTCATTCTTAAGCATGAGCACCTACCTTCATGCTAAGTTAATTGGTATTTCTTAAAGCTTTATTCTTTCATAACATCTGGGCAACAAACATTAAAGTCATAAATAATGCAGAATTCAAATCTGTTATGGTGACATAATTCATTTGGTAATCAGTTGCCCAAGATGCACAGTAGAGTCACAACACAAGCAGGTTTACCTTACAACATGCTCTGCCAGAAAGACAAACAACGTAAATAGTTCAGAATATTATACCAGCCTATCACTCCACTCGCTGAGTCTATGTCCCTTATCTGGTCTCAGTTCCCTCTCAGCAAAGGCATATCACAGTGCTGACTGAGTATAAACTTTAATCATCTGTACTTTTTCAATACAATGTGGCTCCTAAATGCAAGCCAATTTACAGATACACAAAACTATGTAAATGGTACTTCTAAAGTAGGGTCATTCTGACTCTATACAATTCTCACTAAACACCCTGACTTGAGCACCAGATTCCACTGTAACATTTTTAGATAATTAATTCTGTTCTTATTGTTTAGTGTCCTGGAGATATGTGTCCTCTTTTGAAGAGTTGATCATTTGGTAAGTATAAAATCCAGTTAACTGCAGAGATCTCCCCATCATTGAAGTTGTGTTGTCTTGATGGGGATAATACTATTAAAGTCCAAGAAAAAAGGTCCTTCTTGTTTAGGCAAAAAAGTACTAGGAATGATATTGTAAATCCCAGCAGGTATATTTTCTAATTCCAGGTAGCAAAACCCACACCTATATTCAGGGAAAATAAAAACAAGCTTTATAGAAGATGATGCCACAAAAAGCAAAGTATAAATCAGATATAATCAAAATGCCAACCTCACCTGTAGTCACCACTAGATTTCCTCTGAAAGCCATGGGGACCAGGATCTCCCACCACAGACACGGCTACAACTTCAAATCCAACACTGTATTGCCTAGCAGTAAAAAAGGAAGAGAATTGCTGCCAAGCAGTCTCAAATACAAACCTAAAGTGCAGATGTACTATTGAAATCAACGTATGCTTTCCAAAGCTTCAGCAGGAAGAAACAACACTCTGAAACGCATGCACACTATTTCTACTCTTAATTATAGAAAACATCATTTATGTTTTTAAATTGCAGCCATAAAGATTAACATTAAACTTACTTTAGAAGAGACTACATTTTTATTACAGGCTCCGAAATAATAATGTTAAATTTAAATGATAAAATATTGTCATTGTATTGACAGAAAAAGTGGGATAGGAGTGAAAACCATGAAAAAAAATCTAAATTTAACAAAGTTATTAGCATATGGCAGACATGGCATTCAAATCTGTAGGGAAAGAAAGGACTATTTAGGTGGTGGTGAAGTAACAAAAAATTAGAAACAAAATGTTAAATCATATCTCACACCAAATATAAAAATGCATTTCATATGGATTAAAAGAATGTAAAAAGTAAAACCATAAAAGAACTAGAAGAAAATATGATTGAAAATTTATTTATTCTGGGGGTAAGATTTCCTGCCCATAGCAAAATGAACCAGAAAAGACTGATTACTTTAAAAATAAATTGTTTTCTATGAGAAAAAATTATCTGGAAAGAATACTTGCAAATATGTAAAGGAGTTAACACTCTTAGACATATCCTAATTCATGCTTACAATTATGAAAAACATGACGACTCCAACAGAAAAATGGGCAAAGTCATGACTTAGGCAATAAAGGGGAAAAAAATACACATTGTCAAGTATTTTTACATGTTCAAATGTAAATTATAGAAATTATATACAAAAAGGTAATTAGATACCTTATATCACCTAGCAGACTGGTAAAGGTTTTTTAATTTTAATCCTCACCCGATGACATTTTTCCATTTATTTTTATTCAGATAGAGTGGGTGGGAGAGAGGGGAAGAGAGAGAGAGAGAGAAACATCGACATGAAAGGGGACACATCGACTGGTTGCCACTTGCATGACCCCAAGTGGGGCCGGGGACAAACTACAACCGAGGTACACGCTCTTAGCGGGAACTGAACCCGGGTCTCTTTGGACCGCAGGCTGACGCTCTAACCGCTGAGCTAAACCGGCCAGGGCTGGTAAAGGTTTTTAAAATGACTGAAAAGTAGCTTAGTCATATCTAAATTAGAATTATTAGTTTCTTTTGAATTACTTTGTTGTTTTTGTTTTTTTGGTATGTGCCCCTAGCAGGAACTGAACCCGGGACTCTCTGGTCCGCAGGCCAACGCTCCAACCGCTGAGCCAAACTGGCCAGGGCTTTTTGAATTACTTTGTAAAGCAGGCACAACTAAGCCTAGTTTTATTTAGAAGTACTTTTTTGTATTCTCTAGTTTTTAAACCTTTTAAAGTTGTGAAATATAACAATGTACATAAAACAAATATATAGCTAAGTACCTATTTTGTACAATGAACAAACACCTGGGTTACCACCACCTAAATCAACAGAGCCCCCTCAGCACCACAGAAGTCCCTTGTATCCAACTTTCTCATCACAACTCCTGTGACACAAAACTTTCAATCACTTTCTTGCTTTGTATATAGTGTGACTATCAAGTGTGTACCCTTAAACAACAGTTTAGTTTTGCCTTCATGTAAGTGGAACCATATAGTATATATTGTTATGTGTGGCTTCTGTTGTTGAGCATTATTTTTAAGATTTACCTATCATGTTGTGTGGGTAGGTGTAATTTATTTTCATTATTATGTAGGACTCTATTTTATGACTTTATAATCTTAAATGCCACTGATGCACATCTGCGTTTCAAATTTTTGGCTCTTAACAATGGTTTATTAGCCATTTGGATTATCTTTCTTATGACATGCTTGATCGAGTTATTTTTTAAAAACTGCAGACTTTCTTTTACTAATGTAGCATATGTAAAAATCTTTTTATTGAGATATCTCCTATATTAGTAATCTACCTAAAACTGACTTTGAGATTTGATGAGACAGGGGTCTCAATTACCTTTCTGGTACATGAATACTCAATTATTCCAGCACCATTTATTAAACAGTGTATCCTTTTCCTGCCCCCATGCTATATCATCATCATCACAAATCAAGCATTCTTATATACATAGGTCTGTTTCAAAACCCTGTTCTATTCTAAGCTCCTTTTTAATATAACATTATTAAGTTACTCATCACAAACCTTGGTCCTCTTAGCTCAATCAGTAGTGGCCCAGTCTTTTCTATATGGAATTGGTAAATGGGATTATTTTTATGAGTCTCTTGAAAATTTCCACATCCTCCAGCACTCTGACCACTCCACTTTCCATGAATCTAATAAAACAAAGTTTTGATATTAACAAAACTTCATGTTCTCCAATTCTACGTTAAAGACAAACTCCTTTACACCTCCCACATCCCCTCAAAGATAGCAACTCCCCACTCAGGCTCCACCCTCTCTCCCCCATCTTTATTTGCCACTGACAGGCAATGTAATTCTTCATTTCAGCCAGGCTACTTTGCTATATTAAGCACTATCTCCGTCTCTCAGCCTTTAATCAAGCTATTCTCCCTGCCAATAATTCTCCTTCACACTCTCTACACATCTAGCCTACAGAGTCAACCTCAAATTCTACTTAAGAAGTTCATCCACATGGCCTTTCCTAATGGCTAAGGTTTACAATAATATATGAATTCCTTATTTTTGCCCACAGAGTCACTTAATGTTCCTCATTGAAGATCTTGTATTCCAACCCAGACTGGATGGAGGCTATTTACATATCAAGCTCCAGAATATTTTACTTTGTAAGACACTGTTAAATGAAAAGAGTAAAGGAGAAAAAGGAAAGGGAATTCTAAGATTTCTCTGAGATCATGACACAGAGACAGAATTCTCTTACCTGTTTTGATAAGGTGTATGGTGAAGGAATCTTTGAAAAAGTAAAGCTGCATGCTGAATATACCTAGATTTAAAAAAAATTATTGTACTGATAAAGTTTATACTTATAAAAATACCAAAATGATAAAAGAATATATTGCAATACTGAAAAATAAGTTTGCACATATAAAGGTCATATTCTACAGGCAGCCTGGAATCAAGTCAGGTTTAATGAAGCTAGGACTCTGGTATTCACTTTTTCTGGCACTACTGTGACTCAGGACAAATCAACCTCTGTAGGCCTTGGCTTCTGCATCTGAAGAATGAAGGTGTGAAGGCAGCTCACCAATGTCCCTTTCATCACTAAAAATCTATTCAAATTGAACTTCTTTACTGATCTATGGCAAACTGATCTATGAAGAACAAAATTATAATGACCTTCCCAACTCATGAGAGAAATATTTACAGGAAATTGATTCCCTTTCACTAAGTTCAGGGTCTTCTTTTTCAAGTCAACAAAAATATTATGTAGGGTAAAGGAGTGTTTATTGCTTGCTCTGTGAATTTATTAGTCCAACATACCACATTACCTCAGGACTAAACAATTACTCTGAAAACAAAAATGCTCATTAAAAATGTTATTCAAAATAAAAAGATTACTTTTCAAAAACAATATTTTCTGCAGAAAGCATCCTAACATTTTAAATATTGAACTGATATTAGATAAACACACATAAAAATACACAGGTAACAATTTTCAGAAACAAATTTTTTCCATAGATAATCCCACTTACAAAGCAGAGCACATTATATACTTTATATTACTATTTTGTCATTGTATGTTGGTTTACTTACCCGGACTGTGTAATGGATTGTATTCTGTTTTTCATACTGAGAAACCACTAATGTAAAAGTATGGGTCCCAGGTGTGGTCAACTTTATCTTAGTCAAATAATGAGGACTGTTAATTCGAATCCCATCAATGTATGGGGGCGGGTCAGCTGCAATAAACCAGTGGGTTTACAGAAAAGGAGACTTTAGTTTTTAAATTTAAATTTTATGGTTGATGTAGGAAAAAATACTTAAATGAATGGACATCCCCTTAATTGATTCTATCTTTAAATATAATGTTACTAAAAAAAAAACAAAAAACAATTTAAATAAAAACACTATAATTAAAAATTTGAAATGTTAAAATTAAACAGATTCTAATAAGCAAAAATAATCTTTTAGTATATAGTCAATGAGGTAGAGGATAATCCCTGTTATCTGCCCTATGCTGCTTTTTTTCTCCAGTAGAAGATTCAAAAATCAGGATTAGCTTCTTTTTTTTCTTTGAGGAAATTAAAAAAAAAAGATACAGAGAAATAATAAAAAATATATCTATATTACCCACCACTCAGAATAATGTTTTGTTTTTGCTATATTCGCTTCTTTATTAAACAAAGTCCCTTTTAACCACCACTCTTAGTCTTATTTCATTCCACTCTAATGGATCTGATTGACATCTTTTCAAACTTTCACACACATCCCTAAAAAAGAATGAATGGGTAAATATTTCTGTGAGCATACATCTAGAAAAGGACTATACATGTCATGTTTTATATCTTTCATTTTTCACTAACATGTTTTTGAAATCCATACTATTCTATATAGATGTGGTTTATTCCTTTTAAAACTGCCTATATGTATAATATTCTATTGTATAAATATAACATTGTATCTATACCTCATCTAGTTATCCAGACAATCTGAATATTCAGATTATTTCCAATATTTTGATGTTATGGTGCTGCCTGTTATAGACTTTGTTAGTCTCATCAATCAAAGCTGGCATAATAAAATCACTTCATGCCCTGGCCGGTTTTGCTCAGTGGTTAGAGTGTCGGCCTGTGGACCAATGAGTTGCAGGTTTCATCCCCGGTCCTGGTGGGGTCATGTGGTTGGCAGTCAGTCAATGTGGCTCTATCACATTGATGTCTCTCTTTCTCTCTCTCTCTCTCTCTCTCTCTCTCTCTCTCTCTCTCTCTCTCCCTCCCTCCCTCCCTCCCTCCCTCCCTCCCTCCTTCCCACTCTGATAATAAGTAGAAAAATATCCTTCAGTAAGAAATAATAAAAATAAAAATCACTTCATGCACGTGCATTACCATGTCATTTTAGATCAGTGCTATATCACTTGGTTTACTTAGGTATATTAATTATTTATAATGTAATCTGTTAGAAAAATAAACATGTTAGAATCTCAAACAGGTCATATGTCTCTACTGCTTAGAGGTGTTTGATCTGGTGTGAAGAGAAAAAGAATGGGCATATCTCTGATCTAGGACAAGGTTTTTAACCTTTCTATATCTCAGGTTACTCTTCTGTCAACAGGGGAACAATGAGATCTGTTCTAGTTATCCCAGAGTGCTATGATGAAAATAAAACTACAAACCAGAAAGTACCTTGCAAAGGCAAAAATCACGATGGGTTAAGGAGGGAGCATTATTAAAAAGAAATCCTAGTAAAAACAGTAACACGTATTTGAAATTCAAAAGCTGTGTAACATCTTAATGTTAGGAACATATTCACAACGCTTGTGCTTTTCGGGTTGTATAATGACCAACATGTGAAAAAATGGAAAATTTGGCTGGTTTAAACAGACATTTACCATCGGAGCTACTATGTTCCATGCCCATTCCAGAATCTGTACGGATACTGACCGCTAATATCAGTGCTGGCCCTCAACACAGTGTAATGTGGAAGAATGCCATGTTTTCCTATGATTAAGCAAATCAAAACTCAACAAAACCACTTCTGATTCCAACTCCTCCAACATGGCCCATTTCTTTGTGCAGCTTTCATGAAAGAACTGTCAACAAGCTTCCTTCAATCTCTTCTCAAACCACACCACTTCTCCAACTCTGTTCCCGTCCAGACCAACAATGATGTCAGGATCTACTACATCCAATAGGCTCTCCTCTAATCTTACCTTACCTGACCTCCCAAACAGCAATTGATGTAGTTGTCTACTTTTTCCCTCATGAAAGATTCTTCCCTTGTGCTATATGAAATCTTACTATCAGGTTTAAATCTTATCAGGTTTAAATTCCTTTGCTTAACCTTAGGATGTCAGAGTTCAATCTCTATACCTACAACTCTCTCCATAGATGATTTATACAGTGTTATCTTCAAATGCTGTCCATACGACTGTTGCTCCTCCATATGTACCTACAGTTCTAACCTTAATCCCCAAAATCCAACTGCCTACTCCATAACAAATCTTTTGACTTTACTCTGCAACAAATTTGCTCCCTCCCCACCCTACCAACACTTAATAGTCTCTGGAAATGTTACACCTTTTTATTGCTCAAATAGGAATCAACCTGGATAACTCTTTGCCCCCCTACATCAACTCAACAAGTTCTGACTATCCTAGCAAAACACAAATCTGTCCACTTCTCCTTCCACTTCTACCAACCAAAGTTCAAACCACTATTTCTCACAAATAGCCTAAATGGTTTTTCTACTTCCATTTTTTTTTTGCCCCCTCCAATATATTCTACAAAGAATGTTCTTAAAAAAAAAAAAAAAAAAATCACTTAGAACCATATCCAAACCCTTTCCTGTGGCTTAAGAAACTCGTGATCTCAGCCTGCACACCTTTCTGACCTCTTCTGCTACCACAGCTGCCACATCTCCCCAGGTCTACTGGCCTTCACTCTGTTTCGAAAAAACATCAATCTTTTCCTCGTTTTAGGGCCCTAGCCTTTGCTATTCCCTCTGCCTGTAATGCTTTTCCCATTTCTTTGCATATGTTGATTCATTCTTGTCATTCAGAGTTCCTCTTACCCTTCTCAAGGAGAATGCCATGGCCCAACCAAAGTAAGCAACCAGTCACTAACACATGACCCTATTTATTTCTTTACACACATGTATTATTATTATTATTATTATTTTTTTGCTTTTTATTGGTCTCCTTGACTACAACATAAACAGTTTCTGTAACTTAGAAAGTGATAAAACATTTTTTTGAATGTGAAACGAAATGGTTTCAATACAGTATGTAAAATGCCTCACAAGTCCTGCAGAGGGAAAGATTCACTTTGGCTGGCAGGAGGTTATCAAAAAGAAAATAACATATAAACTGGATCTTAACCATGTTCCTATGCAGAATAGGGAAAAAGGACTTATGTGGGCAGAGGGAGGGATTCTTGGAAGGAGAAACTGTGTGAAAAGAGGTGTAACGAGGGCATGATGTGTTCAAGAGTAGCCATATACTTCACAGAGGGTACTATCAAAGGAGGGGGCATAAGATAAAGGGGCACAGGAAGGTTAAGGCCAGAATTACATACACTATGGTAAAGAGCTTGGGTTTTATTGACAAGTCCATGAAAAACCATAGGATTTTTGATCAGAGAAGAAGATATAACTTAAATTTTAGAAATAAAACACTCACAGCAATGTGAACTCCCAAATTTCTGAGGACTCTTTTAAAAACAAATCAAAACAAAACACAAGTAGCATAAATACCCACTTATTCGTCTGAGTGATTTCTATTAGTCTATCAGCATAATTGTTGATTTCTGCATATTATCCACATAAAATTATTTTCTACTTAATCATATAAATAAAATTTTAATGTTTGTTTGAATGTTTGCCTACTAAACCTACCTGGGTAATACACTTTTTTCCCATCAGTCTTGTATACAACCATTGTGATAAATTCTCGATTATTCGCAAAATCATCCTAAAAGCATAAAGAATCCAATGTGGTTATGAAAATGGGTTCTGAAGTGAAAAAAAAAGAATAATTCTAATTTTAAGAGCATTTATTTCAGCTACTTAATACTATTAAAAACACTGTTTTTCTGGGTTAAGCTGTCATTCCAATACAGTAGAGTGACCATATTGTATGCAAAAATATATTAAAAAAATTCTGAAGCTATTAAAATATGGTTACCCTTTACAGAATCAGGCCTAATGATTCAAAATTTCCAACTCCCCCTTAACATATTTTAATGTTAATATTCTTAACACCTAAAGCAGATATAATCAACATGAAAACCCTCACTAAAAGCATAAACTCCCTCATGTTTTTCTTCAGAAATTTTTGAATAAAACTTCTAAGAGTATGATTACAAATGATATTTCCTGAGAAAAATATAAATTTACCTAAGAAAATATCATTTTCAAGCCACCTAGATAAAATAGGCTGATGATAAAATTATGTATCTTATTCACAATGATCTAATTATACTTAAAATAATTTCTGTATGGAATATCATAAAGGTGTCAGTACCTTGTCTGTTATGTGTCTACTAAGCAAAACCCAAACTGCAGCACCCCCTTGTGGACACTGGACCTCCAATTTGTACTGGGGATTGTTGGCCAGGCTATAGGCATCTTTTACAGGTCCTTGCTTAGCATCCCAAGTACTAAAAGATCAAGTCAACAAAGAAGGAAATAAATTTCTCACAGAGCTGAAATATATTAATATTTTAAAAAGTGTTGTGTTTCAGATATAATTAAGTTATCAGGTTTAATTTTTACAGTTTTTGGCAGGATATAGAAGCATATAAAGAAAATAACTATTACATGATAGTCATCTGTGGGCATGACAAAAAGAGAATACTAGTTTTCTTAAATTAATCATTTCATTTTAAATGAAAAAAGTAAAGACTACTATAAAGCATATTCTGAAATATGCAAAGAAATTACCTGTGAATACATGTTGATTCTTTAAAAAGACTTGGATTCCAACTCAAATAAATCACATCATAATACTGGCACAGATCATCCCATGAAATCCAAAATATTCCTAAAAATTAGATATCTTTATTAACCTAAGATACATCTTAATACTAAATGACTTCAGTCAAACACATTTCACATTGTTAAAGTATATTATTTAAAGATCAAATAATATAAAAATTACAAAAATATACATTTGCCCTGGCTGGTGTGACCCAGTGATTAGCATGTGGGCCGGCCCACCGAAGGGTCGTGGATTTGATTCTCCGTCAAGGGCACAAACCTGGGTTGCAGGTTTGATCCCAGACCTGGTCAGGGCACGTTGCAGGAGGCAACCAATCGATGTATCTCTCATATGAGTCTTTCTCTCTTTCACCTCCTCCCTCTAAAAATCAATGGAAAAAATATCCTCAGGTGAAGATTAACAATAACAAAAAGATATATTTACCATTGTCTATTTTTTGAGCTGTTCGAGGATCAAAGTTTAAATATTTTTGCAACTCTGGGGTCCAGTTTTTTACATCATTTTCACTGTATCTTCCTTTCCAACGTAAATGACTCCAAGGATTTTTCAACTGGATAAATCGCAGTCCCTATTGAAAAGAAAAAAAACAAAACGAGATAACAAAGTTGCAAAACCATTTTTACCATATTGTTATTAGTTATATCATTCTATAAGGGAACATGCATTTTGAATACTTATTAATTCTTTCTAAATTAATTTAAATTAGTATTCTTTAATTAACACTTTCACCATGTCACATACCTGATCAAAAACTGTAAGTGGCTATCTATCCCTAGAGCTATGCAGTTCATATGGACGTCATTAACCACATATATTTAAAATGAAATTAAACAATTTAAAAATCAGTTCCTTAGTCACACTAGTCACTCTTCAAGTATTCAAGGACTATGTGTAGCTAGTATCTAGCTCATCGTACAGCACAGACAGAGAACATTCCCATCACTGCAGGAAGTCTTATTGGGCAGAGCTGCCTTAGAGCATCAGTTATTTCCTGTTCTTTCAGAGCCTACTCTAAACTGGCCCCATTAATTTTCATTCCCCGCATATCTTTGGCTCTAGTCCAGTCTTTCCTCTCATAATCCTACACATAATTCTTTCTTTCTTTTTTTTTATCCTCACCCAAGGACATTTTTCGATGTATTGTTCAGATAGAGTGGGAGGGAGAGAGAGAGAGAGAGAGAGAGAGAAACATTGACGTGAAAGGGACACATCAAGTGGCTGCCACCTGCACGACCCAACCAGGGCCAGGGACAAACTGCAACCGAGGTATGTGCCCTTAGCAGGAACCAAACCCAGGTCTCTCCAGACCACAGGCCAACGTGCTAACTGCTGAGCCAAACCGGCCAGGGCCTACACATAATTCTTACTCAATTTCATTTCTAAAGGCATTTGTTCACATTGTTTCCCATTTCTGGAAGACCCTCTCTGATCCCTTTTAACTACTTTTCAGATCCTCTAAGCTTCTTCCTCCACTATCTCTCTGTGAAGATCAAAGCAGTGAAGAGTGAAGAAACCTGTCCCAGGACACAGTTTACTCCATCTACACATGTTCAAAAGTGCCTAATCTTTACAGACTAACTGCCATGTAGAATTGGTGTTGTGTAATACTACTAATTTTTACTACTAAAAAGGCTGTTATTTGAAATTCATACTTCACTGGCAATCAGAAATTTTTATTTAATTTTTATTAATTTATTTTTGTTACAGATGTTTCTTCCCCCCCCACTTATTCCCCCCTTTCCCTCCCTCCCCGCCCTGTCTCCAGCTTTGTTGTCCATGTCCACTGTTCATGCATACATGCATATAAGTTCTGTGGTTTATCTCTCTTCCACCACCCCCTCTTCTGGGGATTGTCAGTCTGTATCCCACCTCCACGTCTCTGGGACTACCCCATTCCTCAGACTGTTATGTTCATTATATTCTACAAATAAGTGAGATCATATGATACTTGTCTTTCTCTGTTTGACTTGTTTCACTTAGGATAATGCTTTCTAGGTCCCTCCATGTCGTCTCAAAGGATAAGAGATCTTTCTTTCTTATAGCTGCATAGTACTCCATTGTTTATATGTACCACAGCTTTTTCATCTATTCGTCTACTGATGGACATTTGGGTTGTTTCCAGATCTTAGCTATTGTGCTACGAACATGGGGGTACATATATTCTTTCTGATTGGTGTTTCAGGCTTCTTAGGGTATATTCCTAGAAGTAGGATCACTGGGTCAAATGGAAGTTCAATTTTTAATTTTTTGAGATAATACCATATTGTTTTCCATAGTGGCTGCACCAGTCTGCATTCCCACCAGCAGTGCACTAGAGTCCCCTTTTCTCCACACCCTCGCCAACACTTGTTGTTTGATGACTTGTTGATGGCGGCCATTCTGTCAGGTGTGAGGTAACACCTCATTGTTGCTTTAACTTGGATCTCTCTGATGATTAGTGATGTTGAGCATTTCTTCATATGTCTCTTAGCCATTTGTATGTCCTGTTTGGAGAAGTGTCTATTTAGTTCCTCTGCCCATTTTTTAATTGGGTTCTTTGTTTTCCTTTTGTTGAGTTGTATGAGCACTCTCTCTATATATATTAGAAGTTAACCCCTTATCTGATGTATCATTGGCAATTATGCTCTCCCATATAGTGGGTTGCCTTTCCATTTTGATGACTATATCTTTTGCTGTGCAGAAGCTTTTGAGTTTGATGTAGTCCCATGTGTTCATTTTCTCCTTTGTTTCTGTTGCCTTAGGTGACGTATCAGTGAAAATTCTGCTGCGTAGAATGTCTGAAATTTTGTTGCCTACAGTTTCTTCTAGGATTTTTATGGATTCATGAGTCACACATTTAAGTCTTTTATCCATTTTGAGTTTACTTTTGTGTATGGTGTAAGTTGAGGGTCTAGTTTCATTTTTTTGCATGTAGCTGTCCAATATTCCCAACACCATTTATTAAAGAGGCTGTCTTTACTCCACTGTATGCTCTGTCAAATATTAATTGAGCATACTGCCTTGGGTCCATTTCTGGGTTCTCTATTCCGTTCTACTGGTCTATATGCCTGTTTTTATGCCAGTACCAGGCTGTTTTGATTACAGTGGCTTTGTAGTATAACCTGAAATCTGGTAATGTGATCCCTCCAAGTTTTTCTTTTTCAAGATTGCTGTGGCTATTCGAGGTCTTTTTTGGTTCCATATGAACTTTTGAAGTATTTGTTCTGGCAATAAGAAATTTTTAAATGCTTTAAGTCAAACCACAGGTGCCTATTTTTTTCATAAACATGTTATTTGTCTAGTTTCCTTTGATCATTCAGAATAGTCTCATTATTCAAAGTAAATGATATAATCACAGGAATTTCCCTCAAATTCAAGCTTACTTTTATATTGCCTGTTTCATAGTCTACATTTAAATCTTGTACCACTATTTCAATATTGGTCACCTATCATACCTACCTCAAAGAATGTTCTAACAATAATATGTACACAGTACTATATAACAGCAATATTTTTTTTTGTCCTCATCCGAGGACATTTTTCCATTTTTTGTTCAGATAGAGTGGGAGGGAGAGAGTAAGAGAGAGAAGCATCGACATGAAAGGGACACATTGAGTGGCTGCCACCCGCACAACCTAACCAGGGGTGGGGACAAACTGCAACCGAGGTACATGCCCTTAGCGGGAAGTGAACCTGGGTCTCTCTGGACCGCAGGCCGATGCTCTAACCTCTGGGTCAAACCGTCCAGGGCTATAAAAGCAATTTTTATTCCCAATGTTTTGTTTTATAATGTAATTTTCCATAAACAAACCTCTCAGCTTATTCAGTTCACATACATTTTAATACTTTTTTCTTTCAGTAAATTGTTATGCCACTTTTATTTTTTTATTATTATTATTTTTTTAATCCTCACCCGAGGATATTTTTCCATTTTTTGTACAGATAGAGTGGGAGGGAGGGAGAGAGAGAGAGAAACATCGACGTGAAGGGACACATCGAGTGGCTGCCACCCGCACGACCAACCAGGGCCGGGGACAAACTGCAACCGAAGTACGTGCCCTTAGCTGGAACCGAACCCGGGTCTCTCCGGACCGCAGGCCGACGCTCTAACCGCTGAGCCAAACTGGCCAGGGCTGTTATGCCACTTTTAAAAGAAGACATTCTATACAGATTGGCTGGGGGGAGTGCCACAATGACTGGCTGATTTAGTAAGCCTTGAAACTGTAAATTTTTAAATGTTGCAGCAGGTCCCTGTTGCCTTCATAATGCATGTAATTCCATGTGCCATAAGAAAATCAGTCATTAATACATAGTGGTACACTGTTACGGCTGAATGATCACTCATTCTTTCTATAAATTTAAGCAGGGGAAACTGAAAAACACTGCTAGTTTAACTTCCCAGTGACTAAACAGCTTAGGTACCATGTCATTAGGGAAAAAGAGTCCCTCCTTAAAAATCTTTGTATTTTCTAATCCATAAAACAGATACATATTTCAGTTAAAAATATCCAATAATCTGCCCTGGCAGGTTTGGCTCAGCGGTTAGAGTGTCGGCCTGCGGTCTAGAGAGACCCAGATTCAGTTCCCACTAAGGGCATGTACCATGGTTGCAGTTTGTACCCGGCCCTGGTTGGGTCGTGTAGGAGGCAGCCACTCGATGAGTCCCTTTCATGTCAATGTTTCTCTCTCTCTCTCCCTCTGTCTCCCTCCTACTCTATCTGAACAAAAAATAGAAAAATGTCCTTGGGTGAGGATTAAAAAAAAAATAGCCAACAATCTGAGAAGTAATTAAGTCAACCATTCCAACACCTGAGCACAGAGAAAGGGTCTGAAAGGTTTTTTTTTTTTTTTTTATCCTCACCTGAGGACATTTTTCTATTTTTTGTTCAGGTAGAGTGGGAGGGGGAGAGAGGAAGAGAGAGAGAAACATCGATGTGAAAGGGACACATCGAGTGGCTGCCACCCGCACGACAAACCAGGGCCGGGGACAAACTGCAACCGAGGTACGTGCCCTTAGCGGGAACCGAACCCGGGTCTCTCGGGACCGCAGGCCGACGCTCTAACCGCTGAGCCAAACCGGCCAGGGCTGGGTCTGAAAGGTTTGACAGCATACAAAGGCTCTTAGGAAGAGAAACACTGCAAACCCAATGGCATGCTTCTTATTCATAGGTATCTTAATTATTTATTTTTATTGATTTTTTTTTAGAAAGGAAGGGAGAGAGAAACATCGACTAGCTGCCTCCTGCACACCCTCTCCTGGGGAACGAGATTGCAACCCAGTCATGGGCCCTGACTAAGAATCAAACCAGGACCTCTTAGTCCATGGGATGACACTCAATCCACTAAGCCAGAATGGCTGGGCAGGTATCTTATTTTTTGTATCCTTTCTTAAGTTATTTACTTAATGTCTACTATCCTCTAAAGCAATGGTTCTCAACCTTTCTAATGTTGTGACCGTTTAATACAGTTCCTAAAGTTGTGGTGACCCCCAACCATAAAATTATTTTTGTTGCTACTTCATAACTGTGATTTTGCTACTGTTGTGTCTTAGGTGACCCCTGTGAAAGGGTTGTTCGACCCCCAAAGGGGTTGCGACCCACAGGTTAAGAACCGCTGCTCTAGAGTCTAACACTGTGATTAATTCCCAACACCAACAACATGCTGCCCAGAACCTTGATGGGGTGTATTCACCTCAACTCTGCTACTTTTATGGAAAAGACAAAGAGGCATGTAGCATTTCTGTTCTGTCATCAACATCTATGCTGTCACTGCCATTACACTTTCCATGTTTTTATTTCATAATTCCCAATGACAGGTGAACTTGTTTTTAATGTAACAGGTGAAATAATTTTAAAACTTTGCTTAAACTTTGATTTGTCAGTATTCAAAAGTCTAATATATTATTTGGGATCCTTACAATGTGTTATGAACAAACAACAAAAACGAGAAAAAAATTTAAGGTAAAACCTTGAACTCTCTAATATCCAAAACAGCATATGCATGTGTGGGAACCAGACCCCACTTTTCTCCTTCAGCTTCTGTCATCATTCCAGTTGATGCAGTGATGAGGACATCCCCTTTGTGAAACCTAGAATCACAACAGACAAGAATTAAAAGAAACATTTTTTTTTTTTTAATCCTCACCCAAGGACATTTTTTCCATTTTTTGTTCAAATAGAGTGGGAGGGAGAGGAAGAGAGAGAAAGAGAGAGAGAGAGAGAGAGAGAGAGAGAGAGAGAGAAAGAGAAACATCGAAGTGAAAGGGACACATCGAGTGGCTGCTTCCCACAAGACCCAACCAGGGCCAGGGACAAACTGCAACCGAGGCACATGCCCTTAGCGGGAATCAAACCCAGGTCTCACTGGACCACAGGCTTACGCTATAACAGCTGAGCCAAAATGGCCAGGGCTAAAAGAAACATTTATAATCTTAGACCATACCATCTTATCCCTTTGTCTTATGGTTCACATGAAAATTTCCACAAATTTAATATCTTTTAAAAGATAAGTGAGTCCTAACATCCCCTGAGGGACTTTAACAAGAATTACATTTCTATTTCACAGCATATGAGATAAATGATCACATCCCCCACCCCACCCAAGTTTAGACAACTTAATTCTCAGGTAGATAGCTATCAATGAAGGAAGGAAGCAAGGGCTAAATTTTCAAACGATTTACAAAGATGAAGACATGAAATGCCAAATGCACTTTCTCTAAAGTAACACTATTTTGTTTATTAAAGTAATACTATTTTGTTTATTAAAGTAATACTATTTTGTTTATCAAATCATTCAGTTTTCTAGTTTCACTAATGAATGTATATTATTTATAGACAATTTTCTAGTCCCTATATGCTAACAATGCTTTTTGAGGTAGGGGGCTGTATCCATCTACTGCCCTCAATCTGTGAAATAAACTAAAGAGCAACAGTCATGCCCTTGCCTATATGTGAATTATCCTTTTACGGCTTAAGTTACCTTCCTCTTTATGTTCTCAGACTTCTCTTTTCCCACCTTCCCTCAAATTGGTAAGTACTAAGGAAGTAAAAAAATTTTCCCATATTAGACATTCCAGATTCAAATGTTTTAGATTCTAAAATTTGGATTAACTTGTATACCATCAATGAGGATAAGTGAGGGCTGTCAGTAGCAGGTACATAAATGAAGTCTTTTAAAAACACAATTTCTCTAACAATAGAAAATGACAGTCTATCTCATATCTATTTGAAATAAGGCACGAAGTTTCAAAATAGCCTCTTTTACTATGAAAAAAAAGAGAGAAAAATGTTTACCTTTGATAGAGCATTCGGAAAGAATTATCCTTACTGAAAGTTTGACTATCTGAATGCATAGCAATCCTTTCTGGTATCCATCCAGTCAGCGCATGGAGATCAATGTTCTGCAACATAAACACATCTCAGGACTGTTAACCTTTTTTTTCAAGCTTAAATATGTTCCCAGGGTAGTTGTTAATTCTCATTGATTTGATACAATGATTTTGAATGAATAAACCAGAAGGTAGTAAGTTTTTTTTCCTATCAGATTCATTAGATAAATTTTAAATAAATTTCTCATCTAATTCAAATTCCTACCTGGATTTAAGCACAAATTTCATCTTTTCCCTAAAACCTTTGCTGCTTTTCCTGATTAAATAACATGAAAACTCAAAACATATTAACAGAAAAAACTGCTTTAATAATAATGATGATAGTCAATCACCATTTAGTGATTAGAAAAGTATAGTTACTTTTCTAATGTTTCACATATATTCTCATACTTTCTCTAAGCTGCACTCGGTAAATGAACAGGCAATGGATTAGAAAGCAAAACTAAGAATATCTGAAGGATAGAACAATTAAGCACATAGATGGGGAAGAATTTTTTTTAATCCTCACCTGAGGATATTTTTTCCATTGATTTTCGGGAAGGGGTGGGGAGAAACACTGATGTGGAAGAGACACATTGATTGGTTGCCTCCCATAGTCCCCAACTAGGGTCGGGGATCGAACCTGCAACCCAGGTACATGCCCTTGACTGGGAATCGAACCTGTGACCCTTCAGTGTGTGGGCCAATGCTCTAACCACTGAACAGACCGGCTAGGGCAAAATATTTTAATACCCTATTGCATTTACCTATGACCTATGCATTCTTTGACTAGCATTATAAAAACCAGAAGAATGAAGGAGGCTGGGTATTAAGGCATGAAATTATCCAGGAACATTTGGGTGATATACATCATTTAATTTTTACAATTCTAAGAGGTGGGCATTATTCTCATAATGCAGATAAGGAAAGAGGCAAAGAAAGGTTAAATTAATCTTCTAAGGCCACAGGCTGGTTAGTGTTACAGTTCAAAGTCATGCTAATCTAATTTCTGGTGTAAACCCAATAGTTTACCTCGTACAACTAAAGGACATTGGGACATACCTAGATTGTTAAAGCTGGGAATAACTAACAAATGAACTCCTTGAATCCGAATTTACAAATAAAAAAAATATATATATAAGGATGACAATATGAAACATCCCTTTGATCTGAAGGGCTTTTTGGAAAGGTACACTATATTTAATTGCCCTGTATCCCAATAAAACAGCCAACAGCTACATTTTAGGCTTTCCTGAATACTTAACCTATACAGCAGTTCCTTGGATAATGTAATTTTGTTATAATGTTGATGAGATGATGTAGGAGCTTAACTCTTATTTATATTAATTAGATTATAGCAAAATTGGTTTTGTTGTATGTCATTTTTGCTTCAAGTTGCAGAACTTATGGAAGACATTAAGTGAGAACTTACTATACAATGTGCTAACTTTTATAAAGGAAAATATGTACTCCCATAATAAGGTGACTGACCAGTGTGTTTCAGAGGCGGATAATCTGTTTTCGTTTCCTTTAAACAAAATAGTACCTATTGTCTTTCAAATTTAAAATAGTCATATTAGATAACCTAAGTCTGTGTCTGGATCATCCTATTACTTACTGAATTGGATCCTGGGAAATCATATCCTCCCATGACCTTCATGTATGCTTTTTCAATGAGAGAAACCCATAATTCACTTTTGTTGTTAGAATAAGAACAAAGCAATTCTCCCTTATGATCAACAGGTAACTGATCATCAATTATCACCTGGGGAAAGATAACAGTAATTTCCTTAGTTGGTACAAAATTATCTTAAAATCTTTTCTATAAAAAAAAAGCATCTTTCATACTGATAAAGTAAAAGGCATGATATGCCTATTATTAAGGTAATGATAATTTCCTATTTCTAGAATCTGATCAATTTAAAAATGTTTTAAATTTACATGATGTTTTTATTCAAGTTTACACACTAATCTCCCTGTCAGGCATTAACCTTTAGCTAATTAGATGTTAAATGTTATGAATCTACCATCAAAATTGTTAGAAATTTTAGAAATGTACATTATATCTAAAATACTTACTTTTTGGAGCTTTCTATAAATTTTCCAAAAACCATTTTTAAAAAAACTTTATACTTGTCATGACTTTTATTTTTAATTAACATATGTTACTGATAGCAGTATGTATAATACAATACCACAGATTCAAAATCAACAAAATGTTATAATGCTTATATGCTTTTAAAATGTTTACACAAGTAACATTTCTTAATGATCCTATTCAATGTTCAAAGGTGGGTAAGGGAGAGAGAGTGAAGAGGCTGGGGGTGGAGAGAGACATTCCTCACCTTTCTTGGTACACCATTGAGGTGAAGTTTTACCATATACTTTCCACATGGATTGTACTCTGGCTCACCATCCTTATTCTGAGGGTAAATTATGCTTTTGTAAGGAAAATATTGAAATACCAACATTAATATTCAATATAACTATTATGCAGAATATATTATATTTAGACATATGCCATTGTCTTAGCAATTTTATACAAATAAACATGAGAATATTTTTCTAAAGTAGGCCTAGAAAAAAATTTCACCCTAATATAAGTGCTTTTTTAATGTAAATAAATGAATAAAGTATATTATGAGATCACACAGCAGGCCATAAATTTCACAATATTCTGAAAAATGCTCAGTGTTAAATTATATACTCCAATAAATTTTCTATTAAGTGGACATATTTTAAGCCAAATAAAATAATCTACTATTGGCTCCAAAAAGTAAAGAAGAGCATTTAAATTAACCACAACTAAGGCAACTAACTATAACTCTGACTGAGATAAAAGTTAAAACGATACTGATAAAAGCTATACAAAACAATCCAATAAGATACTTGTAAAAGCAATCAGTATCAATTCTCTTTCACACACTGCATATTATTTACCTATATGAGGTTTATCCAAGATGGCAAATAGCTTGAAACTAAGGTGTGTGTCTAATTTACCCTTATACTTTCAGGACTTAACACATAAAAACCACTCAGGAAAAGTTGTATGAAAAAATTAAGAAACTTAATTTTTATAATAAATAATTTTAAGCAAATAAAAATTTAAAAAATTCAAAAACACACAATTTCAGTAACATTTCTGAACACTCTAAAGCAGTTTCAGCCAAAAGAAATTTTATTTCATATCATATACATTTAATATCAAATGTTAAAGATAAATTTTAATATATTTTACTTACCATCTCCAAAACATTAGGATTTTGCAATATAAAAGTTTGAGATATTTTGCTAATTTCACATTTTTGTGTGTGCTAAGTTTTCAAAATCTGATGCATTTCACACTCACAGCTGATCTCAATTCAGACTAATCATTTCAAGTGTTCAATATCCACATGTAGCTAGTGGCTACCATACAATGCAGTGCAATTATAAACATGACATAATTTTACTTTGACCAATTTCATGAGCTATTTTTTCTACATACATTAACTACATGCACATATGTTCTTACACTGTTTTAGCAAATCTGTTCATATTCACAAATCATTTGCCTAACACACAAGGGCCATAATGTTCTGAGTGATATATTCTCTTCACTTCCTATGCCAATAAGGCCTGTTTTATATTCCTAGTTAAGAGATAATGGTATGAAAAGGGCTAGAAGGACAAACATAAAACTTTACCTGGTAATCAACTTCTTATTAAATCGTCTTTCATAAGCTGCACTAATAGCCAGTGATGCAACAAAGGAACAATCTGATACAATTGTCTGTTAATAAGAATTTATTAATATATTTCATTCATGTAATTTCAACATTTCCACAATATTTAAGCATTGCACCTATCACCTGACTTTTTATACTAAATATCTTGACTATTGCTTGAATAGGAAATAAATAGAAATACCATACTGCCAATTCACACAAATTTTATTTAAATAAGTCCTTGAAAAACCGAATAAACTATTTCAATAAAGTAATTTAGAATAATTAAATATGGATGATACATTCCTTACATGAATAAAAGCATAATCGCTGAAGCACAGGTTTTTTTGTTTTTGTTTTTCTTCTACAATGTCATTTTATTATTTTTTATTGAATTTACTGGGGTAACATTGGTTAATAAAATTATATAGGATTTGTGGTTATAATTCTATAATATATCTGTACATTGTACTGTGTTCACCACCCCAAGTCAAGCCTCCTCTCATCACCATTTATCCCCCTTTACCCTCTCCTACTTTCCCCCACTCCCCTTTCCCTCTGGTACTCACCATACTGTTTTCTATGAGGGTTTTTTTTCCTCTTTTTTGTGGCTAAATCCCTTCACCCTTTTTACCCAGTGAATCACACTGTTTTTAATAACAAAAAAATTAAAGGTATCTTTAAAGTTGGTTTATGACCAATAGATAAATATAGATATCAAAAGATTCTTGAATCATAGTATTTCAGGATCATTATTTTATACTATTGTGGAAGATACCTGTGACTTCACAATAAAACTTAAAGTTTGCAATAAAGCCATATTGTTGTTTCACCACTGAAGTGTTTTAAATAAGCCCAATTTCTATCTTTTATATGAGTCTCTTATCAAAGGTGAAAATCACATTCTCAACTTTCTCATCTGCAAACATGTATCAATAAATAGGGTTTATATGAGAATCTGTGATTGCTCAAAAGTTATTCATACTTTTATCTCAGTATGTCTAAATGAAAATGTGCAGACTAAATAATTCTTCCAATTACAAGCATGCATCTGAATATATAATAAAAATCTAAGGAAAAAGTCAAATCCATATTTAAATTATTTTAAAAATGTTAGCTTTCATATAAAATTATACAAAACAAATGTTTACCTGCTTTATGCTGAAACTGGACACGGTGTAAATCATTGTAGGATTGTTAGTGAGGTCTTCTGGGCGTATCCATTTGGAAAACATAGCTTTTTGTTTAGGTGATAATGGTAACTTGCCCAATCTATCACTGAGATAATAATAATTAAAAAACAACAATAAGACTAATCTTAAACAATGACTCAAAACCAAAATTAAATTTCCTAATTTTTTTGGTACAGTGATGACAGCTATATTTATGTCATCCTAAAATAATTCTCTGGTCAAATCTGGCTCTTTATACTTAATCATGAATTCAGTCAATCTGAAAATAGAAGAGCAACTTAAATTCACTTATACTTTTTTATTTTATTTTATTTATTTATTTTTTTTATCCTCACCCGAGGACATTTTTCCATTTTTTGTTCAGATAGAGCGGGAGGGAGAGAGAGGAAGAGAGAGAGAGAGAAACATCGACGTGAAGGGACACATCGAGTGGCTGCCACCCGCACGACCAACCAGGGCTGGGGACAAACTGCAACCAAGGTACGTTCCCTAAGCGGGAACCGAACCCGGGTCTCTCTGTACCGCAGGACAACGCTCCAACCGCTGAGCCAAACCGGCCAGGGCACTTATACTTATTTTAAAAATATAATTTTGAAGTTTAATATAGCACAGTTATATTCAAGAAATTCAGTTTTGATAAAATTAAACCATTAACAGTATGAGCTGAGCCAAGCCAGTGTGGCTCAGTGACTGAGCATCGACCCATGCTCTGAGAGTTGCCAGTTCAATTCCTGGTCAAAAACAATATAAGCTTATTCATTCAGTTTTTTCTTTATTGATTTTAGAGAGAGAGGAAAGGAGGAGAGAGAGATAGAAACATTAGTGAGAGAGAACATTGACTGGCCGCCTCCTACATGCCCCCAACTAGGGATTGGGCCCACAACCTGGGCTTGTTCCCTGACTGGGAATTGAACTGGCGACCTCTCGGTGCATGGATCAACGTTCAATCACTGAGCCATACCAGCCGGGAGTAAGCAGATTCATTCAAAATAACCTAGGAGATACAGATCTTTTAGTTCTTCACAAACTCTTCTCTGCAAGGCTAATAATGAGAGTAGCTAATTACTGAGTAATATGCCAGGCATTATGCTACAATACTTTACATACATCATTCATTGAATTCTCAAAACAATTCTATTAAAGCAAGTATTTTTGGAAAAGGCTTAATGTGATTAAATAACTTGCCACCATCAAACACCTAAGTAGCAGAACTGGTGTTTGAATCCAGGTCTCTGATGCCAAATCCACCATTCTTCTCCATTACCCTCTACTCATTGTGTGTTGGCAAAATATACTATGTATTATTTCTCTAAAATTGATACCGAGTACAAAATAAAAACATCGACCTTTCCTCAAACCTCTTCTAGAACATGGGCAACAAATCTCTGGGTTTAAAGATGTCCTGAATATGTCTTGGCTGGGTTGCTAAGTGGTTAGAGCGTTGGCCCTTGAACCAATGAGTCTCAGGTTCAATTACGATCAAAGGCACATACCTCGGTTGCAGTTTGTCCCCAACCCTGGTCGGAGTCATGCGGGAGTCAACCAGTCAATGTGTCTCTCTCACATCAATGTTTTTTTCTCTCTCTCCCTCTCTCTCTCTCCCTCCCTCCCTCCCTCCCACTCTATCCTCGAGTGAGGATAAAACAAAACAAAACAAAAAACACTGGCTGGTTTTGCTCAGTGGTTAGAGCTTTGGCCTTTGGACCAAGTAGTCTTGGGTTCAATTCTGGTCAAGGGCAGATACCTCGGTTACAGTTTGTCCCCGGCCCCGGTTGGGGTCATGCGGGTGGCAACCAATCGATATGTCCCTCTCACATAGATGTTTCTCTCTCTCTCTCTTCCTCCCACCCTCCCTCCTGCTCTATCTGAAGATAAATGGAAAAAAATCCTCGAGTGAGGATTAAAAAATAATAATAATTAAAAAATAAATTAAAAAAAAGATTTCTTAGAATAGTATAAGGTCTACATGCAAACTAAAACAACTGCAACATTCTTTTTCAAAGAATGTTCACAGGTATTAGGAGAAAGAGGGTTTTATGGTCAGGTGTAATCTGCAAACTCCTGGTTAAAATATTGGTTTTTGCATTGGAGGACATCTCTAAACTTTTAATAAGCTAATGTTTACTATAAATCTTAGAGTACAATTTGGTATATAACATTTCTCAAAATTTTTTGATAATCATCTCAAACATTTTGGTATCTGTGTAGTATCAAAAGCTGATTATAAATAGAAAGTGAGCTGAGTAAATTTAGAAAAACTTAAATTTTAAGGAAAAAAGGCTAATTCAAATATATAATCTAATTACTTGCTATTATTAACTTGCTATGTGAACCATAATACAGAGCAAACTCGATTCCTTAATACTTGTTCTCAAAAGTCACCACTAAATTACCAAATTAAATTTTTTCTTATAAAGATATTAAAAATATTTTATAAGTTTTATTGTAATACATGACCAGAACAGAAATTAAAAAAAAAATCAATCATTCTACCACAGATTCATAAATTATGAAGCCTTTTTTCATCAATCTGTTTATCTTTGAATTTAAAAATGTTTACTGTTACTTTTCTGATTTTTCTCACCATAAAATAATCTAGAAAAAGAGAAAGGAAGACATCTTGACGGTAAGAGCAGTTAATTTTAGTTTAGTTTTTATTTTCCTCCCAATTTATTAATTCAGTAAGTATTTACCAGATATTGTGGCAGGCTCTGGAGTGCAACTTAATTAAAATAGACATATTTTATGTCCTTAATACAGTTTATAATCTAGAGTGGAGAATAGGCATTGAGCAAGTAAATGTAAAATTCTAACTATGACAAGCGCTATGATTAAATTAAGGAAGTTTGCACGATACTATATTTTACTACTTCAATTATATTGTAAGCACTTCCCCATGTTTTTAATTCTTAGAAACTTGATTGTCTGTGGCTATATAATATTCTCCTTATGGTTATTTTGTTGTATGAGCACTAAAAATACAATTTGTCTTAATTTATTACACAAAGATTGGCACTACAAGTTTATATCTCTAATTGGATATAACTATTTAAGAACATACTATCCTCTACCTGTCAACTTCAAGAGTTCCAGTTGGCCTGCCAGTGAGTGAGGCCAAATACTGTGAGTGCTACTGCAGGATTAAGCCAATTCTTTATGCAACTGACTCAGTCCTTAATGGCAATTTCTTCTAAAATTTTTTTTTGCTGGGGAGGGTGTGGGTGTGGGTGTGAGGATGGGGGTGAATTTGAAGTTTAAAGTTTAAACTGCACATATGATGTAGTCTGCTTGTTTTCTGTTTAGACAGGCTTTCAGCCCAGCTGTCTTTACATGGAGTGTGATAATTGATGACTTATGTGCAGAAAAGCACTTATCCAGATGCGTTATCTAAACTGGTTTACTAAAGCTCCAGGTTGTGTTCTTACACTAAGAAAAACATTCAGTAAACAGACAAGTTTAGGAAAAATTAATAAAAGAAACCTTACACTAATAAAAAACCCCAAACATATTAGAATAACTGATTCACATTTTCATAATTATAGTATTATAGATAAATATCTTTTATACAAATCTTTAACTACATTTGTAAGTACTTTTTAGAATTAGTTTTCTAAAGTGAAATTACTGGTCAAAGGGGTATAAACATTTGTAAAGTGTTTGAAATGTGCAGCAAATTGTGTAATATAATTTAGTATTTAGCGAAATAATGCTTTTTCTAACAGTTAATCCTTATTACATAGTGCTTACTATATAACTAGCACCATTATAAGTGGTTTATCATCACTGTAATGGTATGATAGATTCTATTATTATTTTAAAATCTGAAGCTGATTGAAAACTGTGTGCAGCATCACACAGGGCATGAAACTGAACAACTAGGCTCTGGAATCTGTGCCCTTAACATCAGTGCTATAAAGCCTCTCAAATATAAAAGTTTTTTAGGTCCCAATCAGTAACTACCATCACATTGTTGCCTGAATGAAGAAATTAGGTTGCTAACTTACTGGCTTTGAGATGACTAACTTCTGCCTATCCAAGAACAGCAAAACACCAGAAATGAGGAATGGCTCTTTTGTTCTTTATAGAACCTTTTATGTATTCTGTATATAAGCATTCAACTCTCCTGTTTTCTGATAACATGTGCATTGAAAAAATTTTGAAATAAAAAAAATATATTTTTAAAAGTTAAATCATCCAATTTTGCTACCTATAAATAAAAACAAAACATTTTGGTGTATATCTTTACGTATATCTATATTTTTTTATATAGCTATAAATATATAAAAAGAAAAAAATTTGAATGTTGTATGTGTGATTTTCTATCTTTTTACTAGATTGCAAGCATTTTCCCTATACTTTTCAAGGACTTATATTTTTATGGGAACCATAATATTTAATGTAATATTAATGTACCATTATTTAATCATTCCCATACTCTTAGATATTTAGTTTGTTCCAATAATTTTTTGCTATAAGAGATGCTTTGATGAATGCTTTTATTATATACTATACATCCTTGACCAAATTTTTATTTTCTTAGGATGACTAGAAGCTGGGACTCTTGAACCAAACAATATTTTTAAGGCTCTGACATAAACTGCCACTGTCCTAGAAGGCTGTGTTAACACTTTCATAATTAACTCTTTCTTGAACTGTATCTTCTTAGTAAACAACAATATTGCCATTATACTCCACTTTTTTTTTTTTATCCTCACCGGAGGACATTTTTGCATTTATCTTCAGATAGAGCGGGAGGGAAGAAGGGGGGGGGAGAGAGAAACATCGATGTGAGAGAGACACATGGACTGGTTACCACCCACACAACTGCAACCGGGGCAAGGGACAAACTGCAACTGAGGCATGAACCCTTAGTGGGAACCGAACCCGGGACTCTCTGGTCTGCAGGCTGACACTCTAACCGCTGAGCCAAACCGGCCAGGGCTATATTCCACTTTTCCATTCAGTTCTTTTAGACTTGCATTTCTTTGTGATCAAACACCAATTCCATAAATACTTACTGAGTACTTACTTTGTGCCAGTACTGTACTAAACACTATAAGTATAATATTAGGCAAAAGGAGACAAAAGTAACAGAGGTAGTTGCCCCACCTCCTTTCCATAACCACACTTCTCTTCCAATCACATTTTTTAATTTCAAATTTTAATTTCAAGACTATAAATTAATAAGACTTCAGAATATGGAAAAAGTATAAAAAAATTAAAATCTTGGAAGTAAAAATTACAATAATGCTTACTTACCAGAAAGGCATTGGATAGGCAAAACGTTCCCTCAGGTCAATAGTCATGAAAGGAACATATTCTATACCATTTATTTTTGATGTTGTCCTATAAAACACAAGAAAATAAATCTGCAAATTACCAAATTTATTTAAACTCCTTAAAATTTAAATGAAAGATATGGTACAATAATAGTATTAAATGAATGATTTCATGTTGTTATCTTTATTTGGACAAAATTTTCACAAAATAGTTGAATACCAGAAAATAAATAATCTAATTCAATTCAGTAGAGTTATTCTTTTTAACATTAACATCCTTCACAACAAAACAACAGTCTCAAGAGAGGCCCACACCAGAGGTATTGAAAGTGTCTTTGACACCAGGGCACAAAGTGAATTCTATCCTAAGTCCACAGGAAGAAAACAAGTACTTAGTTATTCTGAGATTAAACATGACATTTGTAACTATGAAACTATGCTCTTCATATTTTCTGAGTATGAGAATATGGAGTGGGTAGAGAAAAAAGGAAATGTCATAGATAACAGCTATGGCCTCTTGACAAGTTAAAGAAATGTGGTTTGTAGCAGCTTTGCATATTTTCTTCTTGTTCTGTGTATGTTTATTTGTATATATTAACTATTTCCTCCTTCTGTTTCTTGCCCTTATTTCGTATAGAAGTAATTGCAGGGTAATTTCACAACTTAGTCTCCAGGTATCAATATTCAGGGAGACTGTGACTGAATTTGAGGAACAGTTAATAGAGTAAGTGACAGATACGATGACTGTGTATACACTTATTTTGAGAGATTGAAAGCTTTTCACTTGTGTGAAGGATAGCTGCATTTTGTTAGGCAGAAATATGGAGTTGTTTCATTGCAGTATGGAATGTTAAATGTGGGCAAAAGAAGAGTTTTTGGATGGTGAGCAGCCTTAGTGTTGGACTGTTATTAACCTACTGTCTCTCAATTCCAAAACCACCTTTTTAAATCGTGCTATGTTGTATTGGTTCATATGCAATTTACTAGGCAAAGAGAGCCAGACTAGTAGTAGAATTAAAATCTATAGCAGGAAAAGAAAGAAAAATGCCTTCAGGTGGCTGCTATGTAAAGAGCCCTTTCAGCTCAATTTTAGAAAATTAAAAATGAGCAACTACATGACTTGCACAACTCTAAGTAGGTTGGATCTCTTCCAGAGCTCAACTTGAAGAACAGCCACACTGGCTCAGATTTATCCCATCTGGGCTGGCTCAGAATGCAGTCAAAGATTTCCATATGACTACTGTTTTGCATTTTTAACTCCCTCAAGGCTCTTTCAGACACTGAGCTGGTTTCCTAGACCAGGGGTTAGTAAACATCTTCTGTAAAGAGCCAAATAGAATATAGTTTTGGCTTTGCAATGAGGTCTCTGTCACATCTTCTTCTGTTTTCTTTTTTACAACCCTTTAAAGAAATGCAAAAATCATTCACAGTTTAAGACTCCCCTTTACCTAACGTGGCCTAGACTACTATTTCAAGGTAACAATTTATTTTTCCCCTTAGGGTTCTGGTTACAAAGTTGCAGAGATGACTGACTGGTCTGCCATAGCTCTGTTTTGCTCCCTAACTTGCAGTGCTTAATTGTGAAGAATGCTAGGATTTTCAGGAAAAAATGTCTAGTAGAAATGCTAATACTAAAATATATTAGAAAAAATTTTATTTCAAGTTGTGACTATATGATTATATAATGTACAAGTACACAATAAGAGTATTACACACTATAAGATGTGACTATTACTCAGAAAACATAATGAAAATAAAATTAACTGTGCTGAGTATGTTAACAAAATTGTTCATTACTATGAATCATAAATTAATTTACCTGAGAACTTCTATTTCTTCTGCTGTATATCTCTGTCCTTGTGCATCGCATGACTGCGGACTTATAAATGGCTGAGGTCTTTCAAGGAAGGGATTAGTTCCTAGTGGAAAATGTGTTCTTGTTGGGGGTGGCTTTGGTTTAATATTGGTTGACTTGGTTTTGCATAGTGGCTTTGTTAAAGGCTCACTCAATGCTTCTGCTCTACAATAGAGAGAGTACAGAAAAGCGATTTAATTTTTCTTCTCATATTTAAGCTTTCCAGAAAACAAAATTTACTTCAAGGATCAGTCAAGCATTCCTAATGTAAAATTCGTATATAAAATTCTTACATACTAGTCAAGTGTTCACCACTTAAGCTACTCCCAAAGGTATTTTTATTTTATTTTTTAGTATGTTTTTATTGACTTTTTTGTTTTTTTTTGAGAGAGGAAGAGAAAGAGATAGAAACATCAGTGGGCTGCCTCCTGCAGGGCCCCTACTGGGGATGGAGCACACAACCCAGGCATGTGGCGTGACCAGGAATCGAACTAGAACCTCTCAATCCATGGGACGATGCTCAATCTACTGAGCCACACTGGCTGGGCCCGAAGGTATTTTTGCAAACAATATTCTATAAACATTAATTAAGCACTTACTGCATGTTAGATACTATGTAAGGGGGATACAAAAATGTATAAAACACAATTCCTACTCTTAAGGTGTACAGTTTTGTGAGGAAAGACAGACAACTGCATCAAAAGTGACAGATGGTAAGATGAAGTATTACACTTGAGTGAATGCACAACAGAAGATACTAACTTAATGAACTGGGAGGAAAGAGTGAATCAGGGAATGTTTTTTTCTGAAATAATGTTTGAGCTGCAGAGAAATCTACCTGGGGAGTGAGGAAGCATTCTAAGTAGAGAGAATAGAATATGCAAATGTGGGGAAATATGAAACAGCATAGTGAGTTAAGGAAATTTCAAAAGAATGGCTGCAACCCCTGTGAATAGTACAAATGAAGGGCAGCAGGAGATGAGACCAGTGGCATGGGCTGGATTACAGACCTCACATGATATTCAAGGAAATTTTGACTCTGTTCTGTCAAAGAACTAACAAGCTAAAAAACAGAAGTTCTTAATCTGATATGCATATATAGTTTCAGGAGTCTTATGGACACCCTGAAATTGTATGCCAAAAATGTTATGTACATTTTTATTAGAGAATGGATCCATAATTTTGAACAGATCCTCAAGGAAGCTGATGACTGACCCACCCCAGTGCACTTCGGATACACTCACAGAATACTAGATGGATTATCTGCATAGGTAATAAAAGTCATCTATAATTCTGATTGGTGAAAGTCAAAATGGAGAAAATAACTATGTGTCAAAGTGTCCATATCTTCAAGAATTTGGAAAAACAAAATAAAGGTTAGATGACGGTAATGAAAAGGTGGGATGACTTTTACACCTCAATAAAAAAAGAAGGGCTGAGGGTGGTACAGGTACCTAGTCAGAGAGCCTCAAAAGGAGGCAATTTTATGAATTATAGCTATAAGAGCAATTTCCACCCTTTTCCTTTGTCTATAAGTAATGCTCTTCAAGAGGTATAATTCTATTGTGCATATCCATTCATTCTTTCAACAAATGCCTTCTGAGCACATACTCTATGTCCAGCACTCTGCTATGTGCTTGATTATAGCACTGAACAAAACAAAGTTCTCTGTACTCACAGACCTTGCAACTGAGGTGATGAGTGTTGGAAGGGACACAGACATTAATAACAAACACAATAAACTGGTAACTGACACGTCTTAGAAAGTGGTAAGAGTTATGGAAAACAATATTAGAATAGAGTAAGCAGGATGAAAGTATTGAAGGAGAGTCAATTTTATATTGGCTAGGGAAGGCCTTATTGAAAAGTTGACATCTGAGCAAAGAGTTAAAGGAATTATATATATTGTATAATTTGGGGTATGTATATGGCTGTAAGCTGGCTCAATCTCAATTTCTTCATTGTTAGTTTAACTCTTGAAGGCTCTTTGGACGTTCTCCTCTTTGGAAGTCTGATATTACACAACAGAAAGGAAGTTTTCCATTTCAAATATCATAATCATTTTTATTCTACACATAGAAAAGGCTAAAGAAAACATTTCTTGATTAATGCTATATATATTTTTAAATTTAAAGTAAGAAACTAGAGAGGAGTAAATTCACTCAGAGAAAGAAGGCAGACTAGCTCTAGATCTCAGGCAAAAGATGGATATTTATTACTACGAGCTCTAACACATTTAGATAAATCTGTCACATTTAAGTCACACAATATATACTGCCATTCCTGGATAAGAACTTGATTGACCAAAACTCACCTATCTAGTGCCTGCCGAGCCAACTGTTTCAGTTTATTTTGCAGAGTTTTATCAGCAGTTTCAGAGGACTTAAGAGAAAGAGAGACAGACATTCTGAAGCATAATTATTTTCTAATTTCCTTGATCCATGATATTTCTAAGCAAAAAAATTAACCATGCACATTACACTTCTTGCAATTATGAGAGAATAAACCAAGACATTTTATTTTCATTCTTAAATGTATCTTTTAAAATAGCATTGAAAACTTATTGAGGTAAGCTTTAAGACCACTTAATGTGGACAGGTGGTAACTGGAACACAACTGTGTGACCATGGTACCATGGAAGGCAGGAACCTGAGAAGACTAGCATTTACCTCCAGTTTCAGGCACCCACAGAAATTAGGCTGGATGTTTCTCCTGAACAAAACACCCTGGACAAAAAGCCAGTATGCTCTGAACAGTGCTGAAACCACTCTACCACTTCACCTCATCTGCCTGTCAAATACACTGCTCTTATGTACTAGATGCCCCTTAAAAAGTCCCAGCCAGGGCTCCTTAGAGAGCAGTAAGAGCCACTCAGTATATAGATTTTACATTACAAATTAATAAAGCTCTCCCAAACCACTACCTTAGTTTTTAGTGTATGAAGTTGAAAAAAAGGGGCGGTGTGTGTTTATTCTAATTTCACGATGGTGGATTCTTTCTAAATAATTTTAGTTATATGTAAGAAGGTTAAAAAAACTACCTGTAAATTAGAAAATAATTGCCTAATGACTCAATCTTAATGCTGTTAAAATTTTAACAAGATGTTAAAATCCATTATTAATTTTCTACTCATCATCTTTTAATGAGTAACTTAGTTACATTCATGACACAATTATTTTTTTCTCTAAGGAATTGTTAAGTAAAATTCACTAGTAAAAGGAAAAATTCCACAGCATAATTCCACCAAATTTAACTTGTAGCTATACATACAGTTTTCAGACAGAGATCTACGGCTTCTGTATACAATTCTATAGCATCTTCAACATTCCCTTTTTCATCTTCATCAAAAGCTTGCGTAACAAGGAAATGGGCACGCTCCAAGTCCAACTGTTGTTTTGATTTCAAAGGATCAGCACTTTTTGACTGAACTAAGATAGGAGAAAAGCCACACAGAAGAAATATTACCTATATATCTATACAGAAAACAACACACCATTTTAATACACTTCAGAATTCTTTACCAAAACTCTAAAATCCTTCCTTTAAAGAAAAGTTTAGCAAGGTAGAATTGTGCTAAAAACCACTGCATTGTATACAATAAAATGGTAAATCTTATGGTATGTGAATTCTATCCCAATAAAGCTATCTTTCTTAAAAAGCTTTACATTTTGTCTTTATAGGTATATGGTGATCTTTTAAAAACTTTAACCCTCAGTAATACCTCTCTGAAGTAGGTACTAATCCCATTTATAACATGAAGATAGCAAAGCTCAAAAATGTTAAATATCTAGTGCAAGGTTTCTTAGCCTTGGCACTCGTGACATTTTCGATGGATAATTCTTTGTTGTGGATTGTCCTGTGCATTGTAGAATTTTTCACAATATCCTTGGCTTCTACCCAAACTAGATGACAGAAGCATATTCCCCACCTCCCCACAGGGTAAAAACCAAATGTCTTTCCAGACATTGCAAAAAGTCTCCTGAGGGGCAAAATTCCTCCCAGTGAGAATGACAGATAACCAAAGATTTCATAGCTACAAACGAAGGGCAAGGACTTAACTTAGATCATTCATTCCTTTATTTATTTTTTAATGTTCAATGATCTCCGAACTTTTCATTGGCCTCGTGCTGCCAACTTCTGCTGCCTTAATGCCTCAGAACTTTGGTGTCACTGACTTCAGACACCACTTTGCCACCCACAATCCTGAGGGTGGTGGTCACCTGGATGGATTGTATAGAGTTGCTGTTGTCCAGGGCATCCCCAAGACTGAAGTCCTCCCCTTTTTCCAGCAGGTGGCACTCTCAGCCTCTATGATCAGCAGGCCTTGTATTCTTGGGACTGGCGTTGCCCCTCTGCTGGAGTTTTGGCCAGCTCTGACTCCATGTGCAGCAGCTATTGAGCTATGCCACCTGCATGGCATACGGCATCTCTACCTCCTTCAAGCTGTTCAAACTGGCCTTCAGATTTCTCATTGAGTCCAGGTCAACATACAAGAACTAACCATACGTCTCAGCTCTGTGAACGTTATTTCAGCATTGGTCTGCGAGGTGCTCTCCTTAATCTGCTGGGACCAGTACTTGTCTAGCCCCTCTTCGTTCTTCTGAGCCAGCTTGTCATACTGAGCCCAGATGCCCGCCAGCCATGATCTTGCTAAGGTCCTAAGATTTGGAGGCATCCAACTCCACAGACAACCCAGAGGTGGCAGTCTGATTTTGTAGACCATTTACTTCTTCCCTTCCTTATGGTTCTTCTTCATGAAGGGCAACTCTTCCTTGAGAGCCTCGATCCCTGTCTCCAGCTGCAGCCAAGTGATATTGGTGTCGTTAGTGATCTTTTGAAGCTCACTGATGTCACTTTCCAAAGATTGGTGCATGGCCAGCTCTGTCTCACACTTAACTGAAGTCATCATCAGCAGGATGGGCATTATAAATCTGCAGAACAATATGGGCACTGTCCACAGAACTTGCAAGTGTCTGAGTCCTCAGGTTCTTGAAATAATGCCCCCAAGTCCCTGACTTGGGGTCCTTTCTTCTCCATGCATTCCTGGATTTTGCTCTCCAGTCTTTATCAGCCTCCATGCTCCTCAACCTCTCCAAGTAGGAGGCAGGTGGTCATTTAGGGATTGTACAGTTTCTTTCCTGCTCTGGAAGCCCCCTATGCCTTCCAGGCCCCCAGATCACCAGCAGCCTCATATGCTGGTAGACTGGGGTACACAGAGATCTGAGAGCCCAAACCCCCAGTGCCTGTATAAAATGCTGGCCACACTGCTGGCTGGCTAGGCACAGTGGCTGGGCGACTGCACAGAGCTTAGTAGGTGGAGAGCTAGAGAGTGGGGGCTGAAGTTCATGTTGTTCAGGGAGGAAGGAGAGAGACCAAGACTCAGGTTCAAGCTGCCTCAACTTAGATTTTTTAATTCCAAGTCTTGAGTTCTTTATTCTATACTAGTGAATTTCAAACTGTGTTACCTTTTCCCACCCAAAAGGCAACATTTCTCAAAAGGGCAATATTTCAGCAGATTTTACATGTTTTAAAGATTGGGCTTATGAACAAGATTTTTATTTGATAAATGTCTCTTATGTTTAAAATAATAATTAAGGAAACTATTTAATTATTTACAGATTACATTTCATTTGTTGAATAAAATGTGACCAAAAGCTGGCAAAACAATTAAGGTATGTTACACTTTAAAAATTCTTTTTTTCCCTCCCATTGATTTAGAGTGGAAGGGAGGGAGGAAGAGAAACATGGATGTGAGAGAGACACAATGACTGGTTGCTCCTGCACGGCCCTGGAGGGGTGGGGGGATCTAACCTGCAACCCAGGTACATGCCCTTGACCGGGAATTGAACCTGTGATTCTTTGGTTTGCAGACCAATGTTCTAACTGCTGAGCCAAACCAGCCAGGGCTAAAAATCCACTGAACTTTACTTCTGTTTCACTGGCAAGTCTTTATTCTTTCGAGAGATAAGGGCTGTCTCATTCTATGCCACAGTATCATATTTATAAACTTAAAAACTTCATTTACTTAGTAAGGAAAATAAAGTTCCCTTGAATTCATTGGTATTTTGAATACATGAATCAATGTAACTTTTTATCAAGTAGGGCCCTGATGCACAGACAGTCTACATTTGAATATAAACAATTTCTAGGACCTGTCTTAAACTAACCACCTAGCCCTTAAGGGGACTGTCATAACAAGAAATCCAATCACCAACTCTACTTTATCCTGTGTTATAACTGCTCCTATCTATTTAGAATGAGTGGTGTAATGTGGCATGAAATCTATTAGATAATGCACAAGTAGTGTGAATAAAACAAAATCATACCTATTTTTTGTTACATTGAAAAAATATTTTTTGGTGTGCTGCTGAATTTTATTAATTAGTTTATATGTGCCATGAGATCAAAAAGGTTGAAAACTGCTGCTCTAAGTTGCTGTGGCTTTCTTTCATGGCCAAGGAAAAAGAGTCAAGAAGAGTCCTTAGTGAGATAAATGCATTTCTGAAACAAAATAGTGTTGGGGGGTGGGTGGGGGGGAAGGAGGTGGAAAAAGGGGATGTAATACTTTCAACAATAACGATACATTTTTAAAAATGTCAATAGGTGATCACTTTCTTTTCTGCCCATGTGAACAGCAGATTGACATAAACCACTGACCTCTAATGAACAAAACTGCGATCATTAAACCTGTGTGTACTTGCTTTACAGTATTTGCCACACTGTTTAAGAACATAAATACAGGGTGTTTCAGGTCTCTGCTTACATGTTGCTTTTCCAAGATATGGTTTAAAAAAAGAGTTTAGTTTAGCTAAGGTCTTGAGATTGATGAACTGATATAGAAGAGACAGTGAACCTACTAGCTGAAGTCTTTAAACACTGAAGAGGAGTAGTCATTTAATCCTAATATCAGGAGAGGGCATGTGACAGATATTTAAAAAGCAGATTTTAACAAGGTCCTAATCCTGACTTTGCCAATAATACAGTCAGAATGTAAATAATTCACCATTTCTATACCTCTGGGAAATTAGGAGAATGGACCACAATATCTCTAAGGTTCTTCTTCACAGATCTATCACTTAGTTACATATTATGACTTTTTTTGTTTTATTGCACCTCGTTTTATTGTGCATCATAGATGTTGCAGTTTTTACTAATTGAAGGTAAGACATCACAACAAGAATATTTTCTAACTTGCTTTATTGAAAGACTCACTTTATTGCAGTGGTCTGGAACTGAACCTGCAATATCTCCAAGGCATGCCTATACATGTAAATCAAACCACATGCTGTATTCCTTAAACTTACACAGTGACATGTTAATTATCTCTCAATAAAACTGGAAACAATATGTTGTGTGTAATTCCCACCACTCCTGGGTACTGCTGTGTACTACCTGGTGATCTTAGACAAATCATATAACCTCTTGGAGCCTTAGCTTCCTCACCTGTAAAGTGAGAACATTATCTGTTGCTACATGTTACGATTTTTAAAGATATGATTACCAAAAGAGGAATGAGCAGCAAGAGACCGAGGATCAAGATCCAAAGATAAAAAGGAAAGAGAAACATAGAGGAAAAGTAAGATGTGATGGAAGAGAAGAAAAAAAATGCAATGACAAGTTTAGTAGTCTTTTACTAACCTGCTGAATATAAAGCCTGAACTCTTTCCAGATACTCATTTATTTTTTCTTGAATGCGTTCTAGGCTTGATCCTGCCATCTCAGCATAAATTAAGGCTTGTGCAGCTTCCTAAAAAGAATTCAAAAGAATCTAATACATGAATTACAATTTGAATTTTCTTTACCATTTTCTAACTCACTATTGATTTCAATGAATGACAAAACAAGAATGCCCTTAAGATATCAGTAATTTTATTTATAAAGTAAACGAGTTACATAATCCTCCCATACCTTTTCTTCAGTTCTCAATGCTCCAAATTTTCTCACACTGTTGAAAACTTATAAACTCAAATAGGAGGGATTGATTAGAAACATTTTCTTGAAACAGCTGTGGTTTATATGTTTTCAGTTTTCCTTTTTCTTTATGCAATAGGTCAGGCTTAAAATTATATACCTTAAAATGGTGAACTGAGCCTTAAAAGCATTAGAACAGATAATAATCACCAATAAAATAAAACTAAATGTCGAAAAAAGATTACAAGAAATTATGAAGGTTCAATACCTCATAGTGGAAAGAAAATCACTTTCTCCACAGAACATATTGTCAAATAGCATCTCGAATTTTAAAGCATATTTCAGTTGTCTGAAATCAACTTATTTTAATTAAGAAAACCTGGATCCATCTTTCAGTTATTCACTCCGTAACTTCCAGAGCCAGTTATGCTGTGGCTAGTGAGGAAGAGCCACAATTCTCCTCATCACCACTTCAGGAAGGTTACCTAATGCTACCACAGAGAAGGATCAGAGATTTCTTCAAATAGCAACATCTTCTCTGCAGTAACCTAAGCATGTACACTACATGAAACTACATGGCTATCTGGATCCAAAGAAGCCATGCCCAGAATATCACTTTTTGGATCCAGTTACTAGGAACAGGAGTTGCTTTATTGAACCTAACAAAATTAATAACAAGAATACAGTTTTGATCCAAATGGAAATTCAGTCTAAAGGCTCTGGGGGTACAAAAGCTATGATTTCCTCAGATTCTGTAACTCAGCTATTTCAGGGGAGAAAAGGATAACTTTACATATAAATATTAAATACTGTATCTTATGCACCATCATTATTTAAATACAGTATAGCTATACTTCTCTTCAATAAACTGATGTAATATATATATGAGTATAAATACATATTCTACCCCTTTAATTATCTTGCATGTAAATATTGATTTTCAAATTATCTTGCTTAAAAAAAACAAAGCAAATTTTAAAAATTGCTGGTATCAATTTTATTTTCCTCATTTCATTTCTATTTGAAAGTGATTAACAATTAAGGAATCCCTTATAAAACAGTATTAAGATAGTAAGACTAAATAGTTCTTAAAGTTTATGTAATTAGTTCCTTGAAGCACAACCACTTCAGACTTTCTCAAGGATAAAAAAATTCTTCCTAATGACATGCATATAATCCCACAGCAAAACAAGAGGCACAGCATAGTATTTTCTTTTGCTTCAGAAAAAGCTGTATTACAGGGCACTATTTTAACCTATGAATATTTATCAGTTATTTCACAAAACTAAGACACAGAATTTTACTTTTAAAGAAATAACATCTTTGTGAAATTGTTCAAAAAAAAAAAAAAGTCCAAAAGAAATGATTCTGAAACAAAAGTCTCTAAATATGGATTATAAAATGAAGGTAAAATATTAATTTGAGAAAAGCAAACCACACATTATTGATAGCACCACCTATTCATGGAAAAAAATGACTACTACTTGTATCATCCAAGTCTGACATCCTTTCTAAAAGAAAAGGTGACAATATACTAAAGATATAGCTACCTCCACAAAGAGGAAGAGGGCTTGGCTAGAGCTGGAGGAGTGTTTGCAAATCCTCAGGATTGGACAGCAAAGGGTGGACTGTGGAAGCTCATACTCTGATTTAATAATTCTGCCCCGAGTAATTTATACAAAAGAAATATCAAAGACATGTGTAAAGCATTAGTTATAAGGATATTAATCGAACCACTACTTAGGATGTTAGAAAACCAGAATGAACCTAACTACCCAATAGTTTGTAAATAACTTACATCCACATAATGAAATGCTACGCATCTATTAAGATATCACTGAAGTAAATGGAATGATCTGAAAAAATTCAGATGAAAAGAACAGGTTACGAATAGTATAAAACAGCAGGATCCAAGTTTTTTTTTTTTTTAAAGGTGCGCTCACACATTCGTCGAAACACAAGCCCAAAGATGGACCATCAAATGCTAGGATGAGACGTTTCCTTCTTTTTGAATTTACTTGTTTTCTTCAACGACCAGGCGTTATGTCAGTGTATGCTGGAGACCACTGTCCAGTAGCCATAAATCAGAACCAAGGGCCAGCATCAGCTAGCTGCTAAACGACCCACACTTAACTAGCGCCGCCACAAGCAGCTCAACGGTGGGCACGGCCAGTCAAGGCTGCAAGCAGAGAAGTGGTCACTCCAAAGCTACGACCAAACCTCCCCCCAGTGTCAGCAGCCCGGGTGGGCGCGGGGTGCCTGGCCTCTACAGCCCGGTCGCCGCTCCCCTGAAAAGGAAAGCAGGAAGAGGATAAACGCAAAGTCTGGTGGGCCCGGTCGCCTCGGCACCTGGACCCCGCCCCTCGGCCTCTCCCACGGAATCCGCGGTCCCCGGCTCACCTTGTAGTAAAACACCGCTTCAGAATAGCGACCTTCGTGGTCGCGCTGCACCGCCAGCCGGGCGAACTGCACGGCGTCCCGCTCCAGCGCCGACGAGTCCATGGCGCCGAGGGCCCGCACCGGGCGAGGGAGCCAGGCCCTGACGCAGAGGCGCTTCGCCCGCCGCGGCGCACCGGGGAGCGGGGGCACAGACTTCGGAGCACTGTGGAAAGACCTGCGAAGTTTCCTTTCCGCAGCCGAAGGAAAGCGGGCCTTTCCGGCTCGGGACGCCGCGCCCCCACGGCGTAGCTCCGGCGCCCAGTCGGTGGGGCCGCCCCACTTCGCAGCCTCCGCATCTCCCGCCCCGCCCACCAGCCGCACTGAGCAAGCGCAGCCTCACCCTCCGGAGTTTCCTCTGCTTGTTTAGGGTGGCGGAGGCGGGACTCCTCGCGGGAGTACGCTAGCGGTGGGCGGGGCCAGGCCTGCTGGAAGCATGTGCGCATTTGACCGCCCAGGCGCACAGGATTGGGTGGGGGAAAGCTGTGCCACGTCCAAGTCCCGGACGTCTGCGTGGAGGTTGTCGGGCCGGCAGAGGTTGCTGCTGGCAACACGCTGGGAGAGGGGCGCATGCGCCTTGCAAACCCCTTTCTTCCCCCCCCCTACCAGCTAAAGGGAAGGCTCAAAGAGCCAACAAAAAGCACTTCCCAACATCATCTGGACTGATACTTTAAAAATTAGGGACGTAAAATAAGGACATTAATAGGATATATAGGATTCTTTTAAGGTACCCCTTAACGTTTATTTTCTACAAACTGAATCATGACCCAATAGACAGCTCCTCTAGTGTATACCGTAAGTATTGATTGAATTGTCAACAAACTATATTTTCACTTGCACCTATCCTTAGATTAACTTAATGCTGTTGTAATAAAATAATTAGGTGGTTATTTGATTAATGTCTTCTCTTCCTTAAAAGTCAGAATTCAGCCCTGGCCAGTTTGGCTCAGCGGTTAGAGCGTCGGCCTGCGGTCCGGAAGGACCTGGGTTCGGTTCCAGCTAAGGGCACGTACTTCGGTTGCAGTTTGTCCCCGGCCCTCGTTGGTCCTGCGGGTGGCAGCCGCTGGATGTATCTTTCACCTCAATGTTTCTCTCTCTCTTTCTCTTCCTCTCTCTCCCTCCCACTCTATCTGAACAAAAAATGGAAAAATGTCCTCTGGTGGGGATTAAAAAAAAAAAAAAGTCTGAATTCAGCAATAATAAAAATGAACTAGTGATAGGCACCACAATATGGATGAAACCCCAAATTCATGCTGAGTCAAAGAAGCAAGATGCAGAGTACATACAGCATGCGTCTGTTGGTAAGAAACAAAGGAAATCAATAGTGCTAGAAATCAGATCAATGACTGGGAAGGGAACATTCGGAATGATGGAAATGTTTTAATGGTGGTGGTGCCAAAAGGTATACATTTGTCAAAACCCATCATACTGTACATTTTAAATGTGTGCTTTTCATTTCTTTCTTAGTTATACTTCAATAAAGTTTTAGTCAGTTAGTATGTGTTCAAATGGAACCAATTTCTTAATCTTTTCACTCTCTCTTCATATTTAGATATGTTAATGATGATAACTATTCCATCGGCCTGTTGTACAGTTGCACAAAAATGGTTCTCATCCTACAGTTTTATAACTGAAGCAGGGATGTTTTCTGTCCTTACTAGTTTTATCCCAGTATTAAGTACAATCCTTGGTACAGAGCAGATACTTAATAAGCATTTTTAAATAGTGAAGGAGTGAACCCCCTACTGAGTATATTCAATACTCTGTCCCCATCTTGATTCTGAAGCATGAAATATAAATTTCTTAGCACAGAGTAGAAGGTCGTTTAGAATGTGTTCAGACCACATTCTCAAAGTGTTTGTAGTCACCATCTTGAGCAAATTGATCTCCAAACTATAGCAGATAAATGCAGTTTTACTCACTCAACACTGGACTTCTTTATCTAATGCTCCTTCTCTACAGCTTGCAGAATTCCTAGTTCATCATGAAGGAAGCCTTTCCTAGCATTTCGAACTGAAATTTCTTTTTTCATTTGACTTAATTTTAATAGCTTTATACAGTAAAATATACATAAAGAAGAAAATACTAAAGATAATTGAATTATCACAAAGTAAAAACAAAAACACATGCAAACACTTTCCAGATTAAAAAACTAGAACATTATCCTCACTCCAGAGCCTCCTGCCCCAGGCCCATTTCATTCACTGTTTCCACTTTCATCCCCAAATATCACCATTCAGATGTCTAAAAACAAAGTTCTTTTTACCTGTTTTTGAACTTCACATACATTGAATCATGCTGTACATAATCTTTTCATTTAACTTATTTCTGAGATTTATCTGGGATACTGCATGTAGCAGTACTTGGTTTCATTGCTATATAGTATTCTATATTATGAATATACTACTGTTTATTGATCTAGTTTACTACTAAGGACTATTTGGCAATTTCTATTTGGTTTTATTATTAATGCAGAGATCACACTTTGAGAACCACTCCTCTAGATAAGAAAAGGAGGCCTTGGAAACTTAAGGCCTGTTCCCAGCCAAGACTCTTGACAGATGGCTACATGGTCTTGAAATTTCAGTGCTTGGGGAGAGAGCACCTGATGCTAAGGATGCCAAGGCAGATTGAGTGAGTTCCTTCCCTGCAGTCCCATCTCTACTGTGTGGATCCATGTTCTGGAACCTACTTTTACTTCCTCTCTTCCTTCTTTCTTTTCTACCTTCTTTTTTTTTTTTTTTTTTTTTTTATCCTCACCCGAGGACATTTTTCCATTTTTTGTTCAGATAGAGCGGGAGGGAGAGAGAGTGAGAAACATCGATGTGAAGGGACACATCGAGTGGCTGCCACCCACACGACCAACCAGGGCCGGGGACAAACTGCAACCGAGGTACGTGCCCTTAGCGGGAACCGAACCGGGTCTCTCTCTACCGCAGGCCGACGCTCCAACCGCTGAGCCAAACCGGCCAGGGCCTTTTCTACCTTCTTAATTGTTTCTTCTATGGCCCTTCAGGATACTTAGCTTTTGATCCTGTGGTGTGTCTGACCACTGTTTTTCCAGGCTAGGCTCCACCATCTTTCATGTCTTGTAAGGTCATAGACTTTTTATGAGTTATCTGCGTGCAGGTGGATGATCCTGAGGTGCACCCACACCCCCTCCAGACTCCATCCCTGATGTCTTAGTCCCTGACTTCTTACAGAAACCACCAATTTTGAGTGATCTCCTTTCTTTCCCATATAAGAGGAAAATGGAATACTTTTCCTCCCCTCGAACACCATCCTGTGACTTCCCACGTGGGAAGAGAAAGAATAACTGTTGGTCCTTGTTTTTTTGGTTACATTGGCTCACTTACTCTGGTAAGAGATCAATTTTTCATGTCTTTGACAGATTGGGGATGGGTTATCCATACATGTAATAATGTCATCTACATATTATTACATATGTCATATGTAACAGAGGTTACATTCTGCCTCGTAACAGAGGTAGAAATGGAGAGGACAACAATGTGTCAAGTGCTCATATCTTCAGGAATTTGAGGACACAAACTAAGTTTGGTACATGATGGTGATGAAAAGGAGGGTGTTATGGCCTCATCAGTACCTCAAAAGGAGACAACTGTACTAATCCATGCTTTTAATGCAAATGCAATTCCCATCCTTTTTCTTTGTCTACAACCCTCCTCAATTTCTATGTTTTTTTTCACAGACCTCCCTCTCCTCTTTGGAAAGCACTTAAAATGTGGTTAGTACAAATTGAGATGTCCTGTAAGTATAAAATTTATACCAGATCCCAAAGACTTAGTACAAAAGAGGATGTAAAAAATGTAATTATTTTTATATTGATTACATGTTGAAATGATACTATTTTAAATTTATTGTTTTAAGTAAAATATATTTAAAAATAAGTTTCACCTGTTTTGTTTTCCTTTTCTATGTGTTTACTAGAAAATTCAGAATGATGCATTTGGCTAACATTCTATTTCCTTTGCCAGCATTATTTAAGACATTCCATCAGGCTATTTCAGGCTGTAACATATGCTTTTAATGCAACACCTTAGTGGTATTCTAGTCATATGTCACATATTGGTTCTCAAGGGAATCCAGAGGCTGAAATGGATAAAAATGAGTCTTATTAGAAATATTTGTGAAAGAAAATGGGAGGAAAAAAGATTGGGAAGAGGAACTGTCAGCCTGCCATGCAGACCTGACATAGTCTCTTCCAGTCTAATGGGGAACTCCAGAGCAAATATTGTTCGTTACAGGTGCCCTCTTTTGCCACAGATGCCCAGGACTTTGTATGGCTGCTTTGCTCAGTTATTGGTTGGGGGCTGTTCTAAGAAGAGCATGCCTTACGTTGAAAGCTGAAGCCGGCATGACTGTCAGCCAACCACATTCTTCTCATCTGGGCAGGGAGTTCTTTCTGGAAGGAGGTTCTGAGAAGAGCCTGCAGATGTGTGAAATGGGCTCATGATATTTAGAAATAATTAGAATTACTTGTGATTGAAAAATCAGAGATTTTCACACCAACATTTGAGCTTCTGGCTTCTCTTGGGAAAAAATACTAGATTCATATGCCTTTCTTGGAGCAACTGTGTAGAACTGAGCAGTGGCTGCCTGATTATGTGCGACATGAGCTCTCCAATTCACTCTCTCCACCCAGCTTGATTCTCACACTGACACTCTGCCGGGGGGACAGAGCTCATGTGCCCCGAGGAGTTCCAGAGAGGATTCAGACTGGAAATCGTTGTACTCTGAGTCTCTCCCAGTGCAGATGTTACAGCAGGTGTGAAATAAATGTTTACTAAACGGATCAATGAGTTCCTCAAGTTCCTTCTAACGCAACATGCTAGAATACTCCCTGGCATTTCTCCGAGAAGACACAAGGTGGTGGTGTGCGCTCAGAAATCCACCTATATTAGCACCGCAAAGATGAACATTAACATCTAATTTTTTTCACATGGAGATGTAAAGTACAGCATAGGGAACACAGTCAGTAATCTTCTAATAACTATGCGTGGTGTCGGATGGGTACTAGACTTATCAGGGTGATCATTTTGTATATT